GTACGCCAGCAACAAATATTTTACGCGCGTTTCCTAAGGTTCATGGAAAGTATGTTCGAAACATAAAAATGTTGATAAATGTTGTTTTAAGTTTCTTTTTTCGGTTTATAAACATGGAAAAACACTTTCCCTCGGTTTTGGTAGACAGAGCACGCCCTAGGGGGTCGGAAAAAAACCGCGGGGGCTTCGCCCCTTGGTTTTTCCCTCTCCCCAGGGCATGCTCTGTCTACCAAAACCTCGTGAGCGTGTTTTCTCCAATACTTAAACCATGTATGGGATGGGGGTCCAGTGTGGAGAAATTGGCATGTCCCCGGCACGAGATGAACCGGTGACCTCAGTCAGCCCCCTCTGGAATCTAAAAAGATGCAACTTAGACTGAGTAGAGTTTTGGGGTCCGTTTGAACCATTTCAACCAATACCCATAATTTATCATTGATAACTGATGTTGATTCAATGGCGACATTTCAACATCATGACAACTTTCAGATCCAACCCATAATCACTCTTATTTCAATGTTGAAGCTCGGCGTTGATTCAACATTCATTCAACATTGTCGTGGCCGCTGGGTCTCTGATCAATCTCATTAAAATCAGATCTTAGTTCCTGCTACAAATAAAAAAAAGGTCTGAGGACATCCCATTACGGGTCAGGTCAGACCGACCTTTCGCGAACTTTGACCGACCAATGGAATGACTAACAAGAAGTCGACAATAGCCAATCGGAATTCAGCTTAATCGAGCTTTACGGCACGAGTTTCAAACTGGCGACTACGCTTCGAAACATTTTGACATATACTCAATTAAAGAATTAAAAAATGAACAAAAAAACATTCTGGAATGGCTAATAGATGGCCTTGATTGTATGAAAACAGACATAAAACCCATAACTGTCGTTCGGAATACCTTGTGTGTTTTTTTCGAGGTTGCACGATCAAAAATCACATTCCAACTGTCACGTTCATGATCTGATAAGCGATGCTCTGATTTTCAGATGAAAGGTCGCTCTGACATGACCTGCAATAGGATGTCCTCAGATCTTTGTTTAGTAGTAGATCTGATTTTCATGAGGTTGGTCTCTGATGGGAAAGGGAAGTCGGGTATTCAGTGAGCATTCCGTCCTGTGGAAGTAATCCCCTCATAACACTTATTGTCTGTATTATCGTCTGTGGACAGAATTGGCTATAGGCAAAATAAGAGGTAACCAATGTGTGGCATGCTGTCATGGTGCTTCACGTTGTAGCATGGTTGCGCTGTTTTTCCTTGGAAGTTACCTGTACTATAACTCCCGATACGCCACTAAGAGGTGGAGCTACTGATATTGTGCCACGGGGCGTGTCTGCACATATTGGAGTGACAGACCGTCGGGTGACCGAACGTGACATGGGAACCTTTGCAGCCAAGCCACTACTGACAGACCCGGGGACAGAACCCGTAACCTGCATGAAGCCTGGGCCCACTTGGACAAAACCATCTTAGCGCTAAGATTATCGTAAGCCTATGCTAAAGTATGGGAGTTCCGATCATCTTAGCGCTAAGAGCGCTTTGTGCAATTGGGCCCAGGAACGAATATGTAAACCTCTCTACTGATTGAGCCTTCAGCAACCCATGCTTGTCGTAGGAGGACACTAACGGGATCGGGTGGTCAGGCTCGCTGACATGGTTGATGCATGTCATCGTATCCCAATTGTGTGGAGCGATGCTCAAGATGTCAATCACTGGATTGTCTGGTCCAGACTCGATTATTTACAGACCGCCGTCAAAAAGCTTGAATATTGCTGAGTGCGGCAAGAGGAACAAGAACAGATCGGACAACCGATTGAGCCACGGAGACGTTGATATACCAAGTGCACGATGTAAACGTTGTAGTCAGATGTGGTCAGGTTGGGCTATCGCTATACAGATTCGATACCCGCGGTGTACCTTTCTCACATGTAGTAAAGAAACCAACTCACATGTACGTTTGCCCATTGTTGAAGCAGGTGAATTCTTTGATTTTCCGACATTAAGTCTTTGATTTTGTATCCGGGAATTTGTAATTAGATGTCCAGCCTCCGGGCTGCTGGTCGAGACAGGAGGCAGGTGTGGACGACATAAGATGATGAAGTTGTAACGAGGTGATGGGAAGTAAGCCGTAAAGCTTAGTCCTCCCTCCATGAGAGTTGAGGCATAACAATATAAGTTAACTTCAGCCAAAAGGGAAATCTTGACAATGTATGGGTATCATGGTTGAAGACCACTAAATGTAACAAAATGTGCAAAATGGCAAGTATTTAGATAGAATAAATTAAATGTATTCAATATATGTTAATATGAAAAAGAGTGATATCCTTTCTATAAAATCAGCGTTTCATTAAAATAAGATGATTAATCAGTCGTTTAATTGTAGACAAATGAAATTTTTGTGTTCGGTGGCACTAATCACCTATATTTGGATAAATGTACTGAATACTATGATATTTATACGCGTTCGCACAATAAGCAATAATCCTAATTGTCAGTCTTCACCGAGCGTCTTTGATTCAAAGGACTGTGTTAACATCTTTGTTGAATGGGTTTCGGGTTTATAAACCTTTTGTGACGTAACATTATTGTGTGAGTAGGTTCTGTAACTGCGAATGTTCCTGTTGTGTTGTGGTGATGAGGTCCTGCTGTGTTGTGATGAGGTCACTGCTGTGTTGTGGTGATGAGGTCCTGGTGTGTTGTGGTGATGAGGTCCTGCTGTGTTGTGGTGATGAGGTCCTGGTGTGTTGTGGTGATGAGGTCCTGGTGTGTTGTGGTGATGAGGTCCTGCTGTGTTGTGGTGATGAGGTCCTGCTGTGTTGTGGTGATGAGGTCCTGGTGTGTTGTGGTGATGAGGTCCTGGTGTGTTGTGATGATGAGGTCCCTGCTGTGTTGTGGTGATGAGGTCCTCGTGTGTTGTGGTGATGAGGTCACTGCTGTGTTGTGGTGATGAGGTCCTGCTGTGTTGTGGTGATGAGGTCCTGCTGTGTTGTGGTGATGAGATCCTGCTGTGTTGTGGTGATGAGGTCCTGCTGTGTTGTGATGATGAGGTCCTGCTGTGTTGTGGTGATGAGGTCCTGCTGTGTTGTGGTGATGAGGTCCTCGTGTGTTGTGGTGATGAGGTCACTGCTGTGTTGTGGTGATGAGGTCCTGGTGTGTGGTGATGAGGTCCCTGCTGTGTTGTGGTGATGAGGTCCTGCTGTGTTGTGATGATGAGGTCCTGCTGTGTTGTGGTGATGAGATCCTGCTGTGTTGTGATGATGAGGTCCTGGTGTGTTGTGATGATGAGGTCCTGCTGTGTTGTGGTGATGAGGTCCTCGTGTGTTGTGGTGATGAGGTCACTGCTGTGTTGTGGTGATGAGGTCCTGGTGTGTGGTGATGAGGTCCCTGCTGTGTTGTGGTGATGAGGTCACTGCTGTGTTGTGATGATGAGGTCCTGCTGTGTTGTGATGATGAGGTCCTGCTGTGTTGTGGTGATGAGATCCTGGTGTGTGGTGATGAGGTCCTCGTGTGTTGTGGTGATGAGGTCACTGCTGTGTTGTGGTGATGAGGTCCTGGTGTGTGGTGATGAGGTCCCTGCTGTGTTGTTATGAGGTCCCTGCTGTGTTGTGGTGATGAGGTCCTGGTGTGTGGTGATGAGGTCCCTGCTGTGTTGTTATGAGGTCACTGCTGTGTTGTGGTGATGAGGTCCTGGTGTGTGGTGATGAGGTCCCTGCTGTGTTGTTATGAGGTCCCTGCTGTGTTGTGGTGATGAGGTCCTGGTGTGTGGTGATGAGGTCCTCGTGTGTTGTGGTGATGAGGTCACTGCTGTGTTGTGGTGATGAGATCCTGGTGTGTTGTGGTGATGAGGTCCCTGCTGTGTTGTGATGATGAGGTCCCTGCTATGTTGTGGTGATGAGGTCACTGCTGTGTTGTGGTGATGAGATCTTGGTGTGTTGTGGTGATGAGGTCCCTGCTGTGTTGTGATGATGAGGTCCCTGCTATGTTGTGGTGATGAGGTCACTGCTGTGTTGTGGTGATGAGGTCCTGGTGTGTTGTGGTGATGAGGTCCCTGCTGTGTCGTGGTGATGAGGTCCCTGCTATGTTGTGGTGATGAGGTCCCTGCTGTGTTGTGGTGATGAGGTCCCTGCTATGTTGTGGTGATGAGGTCCCTGCTGTGTTGTGGTGATGAGGTCCTGGTGGGTTGTTATGAGGTCCTGGTGGGTTGTGGTGATGAGGTCCCTGCTGTGTTGTTGTGGCACAGTCCCCGCGGTGTTCTCACACAATGGTAGTGGAAAATATGTCATAGCACTTATACACTGATTCCAACGACCGTGAAGTAAATAAAGCACCAATAGTTAAACTGTTGGCTTGTCGATAAATCGACAAAATGCTTAAAACATTGTTACATACAAATCTTCATACCCAACAATCTGTGGCACACTCATTTGGAAATGAATGTGTCACTAAATACAACAGCTAGTTGTCAGCTAGTCGGTATCATCAGAGACCCGTGAAGATCCGGGATAGAATAGAATTTCAGCAACCCATGCTTGCCGTAAAATGCGACTATGCTTGCCGTAAAAGGCGACTAACGGGATCGGGTGGTCAGGCTCGCTGACTTGGTTGATGCATGCCATCGATCCCAATTTTATTAATCACTGTATTGTCTGGTCCAGACTCGATCATTTACAGACCAAACAACAAACCAATCAACCAACGGTATCATCAGAATACACTACTTGGCAAATTTTATCTCCAACCTTAGATTTGTTTGTTTGTTGTTTAACGCCGCACTCAGCAACATCAGGCTATATGAAGGCGGTCTGTAAATAATCGAGTCCAGACAATACAGTGATTGACATCATGAGTATCTATCTACACAATTTGGATGCGGTGACATTAACCGAATCAGCGAGCCTGAACACCCAATCACGTTACTTGCCTCTTACGACAAGCATGCTCCAACCTTAGAGTGACCAGACGAAGCAACAACTACAGAGTTCTTTGATGTGTTGCAGGTATCGCTGTATCTCCTGGCAACGGCCCACGCTGGTGGAGGTGAGTGTTGGAGTGGAGCAGGGGGGATGCCCTACTCTAAGGGAGGCTGACCTACTGTAAGGGAGGCTGCCCTACTCTAAGGGAGGCTGACCTACTGTAAGGGGGGATGTCCTACTCTAAGGGAGGCTGACCTACTGTAAGGGAGGCTGCCCTACTCTAAGGGAGGCTGACCTACTGTAAGGGGGGATGCCCTACTCTAAGGGAGGCTGCCCTACTCTAAGGGAGGCTGACCTACTGTAAGGGAGGACGACCTACTGTAGCCCTCTTAAGGCAGCTGACCCCAATATGTCCATTGGAGGACACTGACAACAAAATGGCGAAAACTGAAAACGAGGAAACTGATTTAAAGCACTTATAATTACCTATTAGAATTATCCAAAAGAATCCATAAGCTATTTATCTCTCTCTTGCTACCAGTTCATGGAGCGTAAGGAACAAGGACTTCAAAGACATAGGAATGACGTCATAGCCATAGATGTTTCTGTTCATATTCAGGGAACATTGGTTGCACAGTTTCCTGTGTCCAAGATGCGGTTCTCTCATGAGCATTGACCTGCTTCATTGACGTATCCTTTGATGTCACCATCACTTTTGATCTACACGTCTATTCCCTGCATCTATTTAGTCCTATACGCACGGGAGCAGGTTGTGTTCATGTCGTCAGTATGCTGGGTTCACATCAATGGTGTGTTTGTCCCATAGGGCCGTGCAGGCAGATGTATAACGAAACCACGGGGTCCTTGGAGTCTGCCAACTTCCCCGACTTCTACGATGACTTCAGCGACTGTCAGTACTTTATCCAACCTCGGCTAAGCGCCGCTTCCATCATCAAGGTGGTACCGGAGACGTTTGTCCTCGAGGGAGGGTACGACCTCTTGGAGGTAAGGCGGCTAACACCAGGCAGCACCTCAGCCTAGTAAACACGTATTTGCTACAATCTCAGAGAGCTTGAATCATCAATGAGGCGGTTTATCAATGGAGCCTTCCTCTTAGTAACATGACAAATTCATCTGTCTCGCTCGTGTATCATGCCAGTATGTTATAGTTGCGTTGTTTGTGGGCAGGTTCGTGAGGGGGGAAGACACGGCAGGTACGTCGGGCACTTCACCGGCTCAGTCATGCCCATCCTCTACGGCAAGGCATTCTGGCTGAGGTTCACGAGCGACTTCAGCAATGCCAAGAAAGGTTTTCGATTCTCCTGGAGCGGTAAGCGTAACATTTATCTCGAGTTTGCAATCATTTGTCCATGCATTATACTGGTGAAAGAGGTGTCTATCCAGTATGTTGGTTAGTGAGGTGTCTATGCTTTGTTGGCGAGTGAAATATCTATGCCTTATGTTGGCGAGTGAGATATCTATGCCTTATGTTGGCGAGAGGGGTGTTTGCGAGTGAGGTGTCTATACATTATGTTGGCGAGTGAAATTTCTATGCCTTATGTTGGCGAGTTAGAAATCTTTCCTTTATGTTGGTGAGAGATGTCTATGTATTAAGTTGGCAAGTGAGATATCTATGCATTATGTTGTGAGTGAGGTGTCTATGCATTATGTTGGTGAGTAGTCCATGCATTATGTTGGCGAGTGAGGAGTCCATGCATTATGTTGGTGAGGCGTCTATGCATTATGTTGGTGAGTGAGGTGTCTATGCATTATGTTGTGAGTGAAATGTCCATGCATTATGTTGGCGACTGAGGTGTCTATGCATTATGTCAGTGAGTGAGGTGTCTATGGATTATGTCAGTGAGTGAGATGTCTTTGCATTATGTTGGTGAGTAAGGTGTCTATGCATTGTGTTGGTTGGGTGTCCATGCACTATGTGGGTGAGTAAGGTTGTTAATGCAATCTGTTGGTGAGTGAGATGTCCATACATTATGGTGGTGAGTGAGGTGTCTATGCATCATGCTGGCGTGTGAAATGTCCATGCATTATGTTAGTGAGTAAGGTGTCTATTCCCTATGTTGGTGAGGGAGGTGTCCATACATTATGTTGGAGAGTGAGATGTCTATCCATTATGTTCTGAGTGAAGTGTCTATGCATTATGTTGCTGAGTGAGGTGTCCATGCATTATGCTGGTGAGGTGTCTATGCATTATGTTGGTGAGTGAGGTGTCCATGCATTTTGCTGGTGAGGTGTCTATGCATTATGTTGGTGAGTGAGGTGTCCATACATTATGTTGGAGAGTGAGATGTCTATCCATTATGTTCTGAGTGAAGTGTCTATGCATTATGTTGCTGAGTGAGGTGTCCATGCATTATGCTGGTGAGGTGTCTATGCATTATGTTGGTGAGTGAGGTGTCTTTGCATTATGTTGGTTGGGTGTCTTTGCATGTTGGTGAGTGTTGGGTGAAAGTGATCATGCAGTGCATGACTGTTGCAGTGGTGTCGGAAGGCGTGAGGCTTGTGAACGGCACAGGGGGTCTGGAGGGGCGTGTTGAGTTTTACCACGCCGGGAGGTGGGGCACCATCTGTGACGACTCCTGGGACCCCGCTGAAGCGTACGTCGTTTGCGCGATGATGGGATTCAAGTGAGTGCTGAGTTCCTTTTTTTTGCACCTGGTGCACCTGGGTCTAAGTACTTGCAAATATATCCAGGCAATAGCAGTGTTCGGGGAATGTCCTTATATGCCCTATACTGAGGTCTAGTTTGAGGGTAACAGAAACATTTCTTGAGCAAGATTGATAAGAAATTAAATTTGATTGTCCACCGATCCAATGGCTAGACAAGCGCACTCTTTTACGTCATTCACATTATAGGGATCCCGAGGCGCTGAAGTTTACACAGGCACATTTTGGACGCGGAGCTGACCCTATTTGGTTGGACAATACACAATGTTACACAAACATGACGTCTTTAGCACAATGTCGCACTGAGAGCTGGGGGCAACACAACTGTAATCACGGGGAGGACTCGGGAGCCAGATGTACAGGTGAGCTTTTACACTAGCTATATCACACCTGTAGCCAGTTGTTCAGATGAACTATTCCACTGTAGCTATATCACACCTGTAGCCAGTTGTTCAGGTGAGCTATTATACCGGTTATGGGTATAACAACACACCTGTAGCCAGTTGTTCAGGTGAGCTATTACACTGTAGCTATATCACACCCGTAGCCAGGTATACAGGTGAGCTATTACACTGTAGCCATATCACACGCGTAGCCAGGTATACAGGTGAGCTATTACACTGTAGCTATATCACACCCGTAGCCAAGTGTACAGATGAGCTATTACACCGTCCATGGTTATTACAACACACCTGTAGCCAGTTGTTCGGGTGAGCTATTACACTGTAGCTATATCACACCCGTAGCCAGGTATATACAGGTGAGCTATTACACTGTAGCTATATCACACCAGTAGTCAAGTGTACAGATGAGCTATTACACCGTCCATGGTTATAACAACACACCTGTAGCCAGATTTTCAGGTGAGCTATTACACTGTAGCTATATCACACCTGTAGCCAGGTGTACAGGTGAGCTGTTACACCGGCCATGGTTATTACAACACACCTGTAGCCAGTTGTTCAGGTGAGCTATTACACTGTAGCTGTATCACACCTGTAGCCAGTTGTTCAGGTGAGCTATTCGCTGTAGCTATATCACACCTGTAGCCAGGTGTACAGGTGAGATATTACACTGTAGCTGTATCACACCTGTAGCCAGTTGTTCGGGTGAGCTATTACACTGTAGCTATATCACACCTGTAGCCAGGTGTACAGGTGTCCCCGCAAACACAGGCAGCCATATCCCCAAGGCGTTAACCATTCATCTTAACTGGCAGTCCCACTGTCATCCTCACTTTCTATGTATTGCAGGTGCTCTGAGAACTATAAGACGGCTCGTCGAAAAAAGAACGAGTTTCCCTAAAGGTAAGCCAGTTTACAAAGTAGATCTAATTGTCTTTCAATTGTCAAGTACCTAGCTCGTGGAGTGATGTATATTGTCCATGACAACCCACAATTATCTAGCTCGTGGAGTGATGTATATTGTCCATGACAAACCGTCAACTACCTAGCTCGTGGAGTGGTGTATATTGTCCATGACAAACCGTCAACTACCTAGCTCGTGGAGTGATGTATATTGTCCATGACAAACCGTCAACTACCTAGCTCGTTGAGTGATGTATATTGTCCATGACAAACCGTCAACTACCTAGCTCGTGGAGTGATGTATATTGTCCATGACAAACCGTCAACTACCTAGCTCATTGAGTGATGTATATTGTCCATGACAAACCATCAACTACCTAGCTCGTGGAGTGATGTATATTGTCCATGACAAACCATCAACTACCTAGCTCGTGGAGTGATGTATATTGTCCATGACAAACCGTCAACTACCTAGCTCGTGGAGTGATGTATATTGTCCATGACAAACCGTCAACTACCTAGCTCGTGGAGTGGTGTATATTGTCCATGACAAACCGTCAACTACCTAGCTCGTGGAGTGATGTATATTGTCCATGACAAACCGTCAACTACCTAGCTCGTGGAGTGGTGTATATTGTCCATGACAAACCGTCAAGCATCTAGCTTGTAGATGGTTGTATCTTATCTGTTTGTTTGATTGATTGTTCAACGCCGTACTCGGCAATATTCCAGCTATATGACGGCGGTCTGAAAATGATCAAGTCTGGACCAGACAATCCAGTGATTGACATCATGAGCATTGGTCCACGCAATTTGGATCGATGACCTGCATCAAACTAGTCACCCTGATCACCCGATCCCTTTAGTCGCCTCTTTCGACAAGCATAGTCGCATTTAACGGCAAGAATGATTTGCTGAAGACCTATTCTACCCCGGATGTTCACGGGTCGTATTGTATCTGTGGTCAGGTTGCAGCGGCTGGTTCACCAACACCACGGGCACCCTGACCTCGCCCCAGTTTCCGCTCTACCCCAACTTCGCCCAGTGCCAGTACGCCATCAGCCCTTCAGCGTCCACATCCATCATACGGCTGCAGTTCACAATGTTCGACCTGCAAGAAGGATTTGATTTTCTTGAGGTAACACATCATGGCTAATTTCATTTGCTACCTGCTGACACGAAAACTAGAACTACACACACGCACACACACACACACACACACGCACACACACACACACACACACACACACACACACACACACACACACACACACACACACACACACACACACACACACACACACACACACACACATATATATTAACGTGAAAACGAAACTGTGCTTCATATATAGTAGTGTACATCGTAATGAATTGAAAATAACAAAATATTTGGTCATTCATCTGATCAATGGTTACCATAACAAATTCATAGACAAAACCCATACCTGGTAACAGAAGACTGAGCGACACGCCCCAAAAGAGTGGTGTGTAACTCAAATGACAATGTCATTATCGGGTGTGACAAGCATTTGCCTTGATACAGGCTATGCAGCGGCGGCGCATTGAAGACGCCAGATCATTGAAAAGAGGCTAGTGGATGTTGTTCCAAATGTCAATGAAAGAATCGCCCAACTGACCTATTCATTACCGACAAATTCTGGTCCTGTCGTAGGCGTTGGTCCATCTCATCCCAGACATAGGGGAGAGGTCTGGAGAAATATCCAGCCGTTGTAGTACAGCAATGTTATGCTGCCTAAAGAATTCAACACGTGCAACATGTGGGCGGGCATTATCCTGCTGCGACACATATACACACAGGGCAGAACATGATGTCGCCCCGGTAGCGTGCTCATTCAAATTGCCATTAACATTGAGGGGTTGTGTTCTCCAATGAGTTTACACCCTAGCACGACTATCGGAGCTGTCCAGATGAAAACTGGTCTTATCTGTGAACAGTATACTGTTCCAGGCTTGTTTTCTGATTGACTACACCAATTTTGGCGTGCCTGACGGTGACGTGGAAGCAAAATAGGGCGTATCGCTTGTGTAAGCGTTATCATTCTATGGTTAAACAAAAGTGTTTTATGAGCACCTGATACATAACCAATCACTGTGTGCTGTTCACATTAATATAAACACATGTGCTGGTAGTATCGCACTCCCAATAAACACGCAAAAGTCAAAACTGTGCGCCGTGCATGACCATGCACGTACACATTGTGAAACACGACCTTAAGTCGAGGAGATGTCTTCAAGAATATGCATTAATAGATGCATTTAATAATTCCAGAATATAAAATATATTTTTATTGGACTTTATATGAAGCGCAGTTACTTTTTATCCGCCAGCATGAATCATGGGGCGGGAGTTGGATTTCTTTTGGTATGGTACATATGCCTTTTTGAAACATGGGGAGGGGTACATGAACACACACACGTGCCTGCACAAACGCAAACACGCACGCACGCACGCACGCACGCAAACTCACACACCACACTGGATCTTTCACCGTATGCAACAGCTTTGCAATTCTCCTTTAGTCATCTGCAAGTGTGATTGGTGTAGGTTCGGGAAGACGGTCCGACGGGAGCTTTTCTAGGACGGTTTAGCGGCCAGCATCTGCCACCGGTGATGTACGCCAAGAAGCTATGGCTGTCCTTCACCTCGGACGCTTCACTCGGAAAGAAGGGCTTCTTAGCCTCATGGGACGGTGAGCCAATATTGTGAATACCACGGATGCGATAAATTAGGGAAACGTACTTTGCAATTAATGGAAGTTGTTGACAAACATGGGGTGAACGATTCCGGCAGTTGACAGTATCGGTCACTTCAAGGGATAGGGTTGGTGTCCGTTCCTTCCAGTAATGGGGACATGCGTTTGTACTTCAATGTATACCTTTCAGAGTCGTCGAATGGAGTCCGTCTAAGGAATGGTACAGACGTAAGCGAAGGACGTGTTGAAATCTACCGCCAGGGGGAGTGGGGTACCATCTGTGACGACTCCTGGGACAGGATGGAGGCCTTGGTCGTGTGTCGGATGCTGGGCTACGTGTGAGTCAGTTGGCACAGTATATAACCAGGCGTGCGAGACGGTATTATTTAAATGGGTTATCATATGAATAATAACTGAAAAATAACTGGTGGAAGTTTTGTAAGTGAAGATATCTTGGTTCAATTGTGTACATACATTTCACGACTTTTCTACCACAGTGATGGAGAAAACGTGAACGCAACGTCTTTGCCGGGAGGAGCGTTTGGTCCGGGATCCGGGAACATAGTCTTTGATGAGATGAGTTGTATCGGCGTTGAAGATAATCTCCACGAATGTTCATCTTCTGAGGATCACAACTGCAACCACTTCGAGGACGCAACAGCCAGATGCATCAGTAAGGAACATGGAGGAGTGAGATACGTGGTAGTAGATGCATCAGTAAGGAACACGGAGGAGTGAGATACGTAGTAGTAGATGCATCAGTAAGGAACATGGGGGGAGTGAGATACGTAGTAGCAGATGCATCAGTAAGGAACAATGAGGAGTGAGATACGTAGTAGTAGATGCATCAGTTAGGAACACGGAGGAGTGAGATACGTAGTAGTAGATGCATCAGTTAGGAACACGGAGAAGTGAGATACGTAGTAGTAGATGCATCAGTAAGGAACACGGAGAAGTGAGATACGTAGAAGTAGATGCATCAGTAAGGAACATGGAGGAGTGAGATATGTTGGAGGTAGTACACACACACACACACACACACACACACACACACACACACACACACACACACACACAACGTCGCTATGTAAGGGGAATGGTCTTTAAACCCCATTTCACCACATCACCACATCGCATCACTATCTGACGCCACGAGAGTAATAGAATTATCTATTCCGGTGCGTGCACCACTGTTACTATAGCCTGTTATGAAGTGGAAATAGTCTTCTCTCTTGACATGAACACTTCGTCGATGCTAACGAGAATCAAAACATCGAATACAACAATTACAATATTCAGCTGTAAGTACGATAAGCTGAGATATCCATGTTCAAGTACAAGACTTTGCCTATTTACATAACTGGGTGAAATGAACTCGTAATATACTTTTCCTGGTTAGAATGACAATCCAATGCCCCTAATGTACAGCTATAACTTGAAATCCTTCGTTCCTTAAGTTTCCTTTTCTTACAGGCAAAACTCCCATAACCCCGTCTGCCATGGACAACAGTACCTTCATCCAACGTAAGTACCTCTCTTGTATCATTACAGGTTTTGGTTGAGATTAGTTTCAGCGCTTCAATGTATACATTTCTTTCTCCGGAATGGGGAACCAAATATTTTCTTTTGAGACCAACAGCAAATTATTTTTTATTGATCTCTTCAATACATTACCCTCATGATCTGCTGGTATCTCATAAATTATGACGATCTCTCTAAATGCTTTACCCTCATGTCTCTGCTGGTGTCTGCAGAAATTATGACGATCTCTCTAAATGCTTTACCCGCATGTTTCTGCTGGTATCTGCAGAAATTATGACGATATCTCTAAATGCTTTACCCTTATGATTCTGCTGGTATCTGCAGAAATTATGACGATCTCTCTAAGTGCTCTACCCTCATGTTTCGGCTGGTGTCTGCAGAAATTATGACGATCTCTCTAAATGCATTACCCTTATGATTCTGCTGGTATCTGCAGAAATTATGACGATATCTCTAAATGCTTTACCCTCATGTTTCGGCTGGTATCTGCAGAAATTATGACGATCTCTCTAAATGCTTTACCCTCATGTTTCGGCTGGTATCTGCAGAAATTATGACGATCTTTCTAAAGTCATTACCCTCATGTTTCTGCTGGTATCTGCAGAAATTATGACGATCTCTCTAAATGCTTTACCCTCATGTTTCTGCTGGTATCTGCAGAAATTATGACGATCTCTCTAAATGCATTACCCTTATGATTCTGCTGGTATCTGCAGAAATTATGACGATCTCTCTAAATGCTTTACCCTCATGTTTCGGCTGGTATCTGCAGAAATTATGACGATCTCTCTAAATGCATTACCCTCATGTTTCTGCTGGTATCTGCAGAAATTATGATGATCTCTCTAAATGCATTACCCTCATGTTTCTGCTGGTATCTGCAGAAATTATGACGATCTCTCTAAATGCATTACCCTCATGTTTCTGCTGGTATCTGCAGAAATTATGACGATCTCTCTAAATTCATTACCCTCATGTTTCTGCTGGTATCTGCAGAAATTATGACGATCTCTCTAAATGCTTTACCCTCATGTTTCTGCTGGTATCAGCAGAAATTATGACGATCTCTCTAAATGCATTACCCTCATGTTTCTGCTGGTATCTGCAGAAATTATGACGATCTCTCTAAATGCATTACCCTCATGTTTCTGCTGGTATCTGCAGAAATTATGACGATCTCTCTAAATGCATTACCCTCATGTTTCTGCTGGTATCTGCAGAAATTATGACGATCTCTCTAAATGCTTTACCCTCATGTTTCGGCTGGTATCTGCAGAAATTATGACGATCTCTCTAAATTCATTACCCTCATGTTTCTGCTGGTATCTGCAGAAATTATGACGATCTCTCTAAATGCTTTACCCTCATGTTTCTGCTGGTATCAGCAGAAATTATGACGATCTCTCTAAATGCATTACCCTCATGTTTCTGCTGGTATCTGCAGAAATTATGACGATCTCTCTAAATGCTTTACCCTCATGTTTCTGCTGGTATCTGCAGAAATTATGACGATCTCTCTAAATGCATTACTCTCATGTTTCTGCTGGTATGTGCAGAAATTATGACGATCTCTCTAAATGCATTACCCTCATGTTTCTGCTGGTATCTGCAGAAATTATGACGATCTCTCTAAATGCATTACCCTCACGTTTCTGCTGGTATCTGCAGACATTATGACGATCTCTCTAAATGCATTACCCTTATGATTCTGCTGGTATCTGCAGAAATTATGACGATCTCTCTAAATGCATTACCCTCATGTTTCTGCTGGTATCAGCAGAAATTATGACGATCTCTCTAAATGCATTACCCTCATGTTTCTGCTGGTATCTGCAGAAATTATGACGATATCTCTAAATGCTTTACCCTCATGTTTCGGCTGGTATCTGCAGAAATTATGACGATCTCTCTAAATGCATTACCCTCATGTTTCTGCTGGTATCTGCAGAAATTATGACGATCTCTCTAAATGCATTACCCTCATGTTTCTGCTGGTATCTGCAGAAATTATGACGATCTCTCTAAATGCATTACCCTCATGTTTCTGCTGGTATCTGCAGAAATTATGACGATCTCTCTAAATGCATTACCCTCATGTTTCTGCTGGTATCTGCAGAAATTATGACGATCTCTCTAAATGCATTACCCTCATGTTTCTGCTGGTATCTGCAGAAATTATGACGATCTCTCTAAATGCATTACCCTCATGTTTCTGCTGGTATCTGCAGAAATTATGACGATCTCTCTAAATGCATTACCCTCATGTTTCTGCTGGTATCTGCAGAAATTATGACGATCTCTCTAAATGCATTACCCTTATGATTCTACTGGTACCTGCAGAGAGTATGGTGGAGGCTGTGACTGTCACGTGTGACTCGCTGACAATGACAGTGACAATCAGTCTCTCCCAAATTGATGACATCTATCCCCAACTGGCGGAGGGAACAGAATACTTATCGCTCGCCACTGACAACTGTGTTGGGAACATAAAGAACAACACCATCGTCTTCAACACCGACATCACAGACTGCGGGATGGTGTCCTTGGTAATTTGGTTCTGTAGATAAAGTCAAAAAGATTGATTCGTATGAATCGAATCCCGTACAAACTATGTATCGAATTATAAAATCACCCGTCGCAACGTAAACGGATATATACAAAATATGAACGTGAAAATAGGTTCTTGATCCAAACTTTCCATCTGGAGGTTACATGTAGGAGTTACTATTACATACTCTGCCATAGTCATTTGACGTCAAGTTTAACTCGACCCGGATGCAAAATCATATCGATGGGTTTCTTCTCTCAGCAAAACCAAGAATACATCGTCTACCGCAACAGACTGGTATCCCACCCGAACACCTCCACCGACACTGGCAACTCCACCATCTCACGCGGCTTTAACGCAGTTGTCATCCCCATCACGTGCTCGCTAGCCAAACGGGTGAGTCTGACCGCCCGCATGATCAGCTACTTGAAGACACGGAAGAGCACCACTGTCCGCGGTTACGGGAACTTCACTGCTCAGCTGAACTTCTACAAAGACATGACGTTCAACCGGCAGATCTATGACTACCCGATGTACGTGGAGCTAGGACAGGAGGTGTACGTGGAGGCCCGCATACTGACCCGGGACAAGAATCTGAAGGTCGTGCTGTACGACTGTCAGGCAACACCAGGCAACTCTACAGATACTGGAGTATACACTCTCATTTCTAAAAGGTAGGTACCCCTCGCCTCTAGTTGTACCAAGACACTTATTGCTAGATACCTTCTGTCTACCTGCCACACACCTTCATCACTAGATATCTGCCGTCTACCTGCCACGACACACTCACCGCCAGTAACACAATCATCACTAGTAACGCAATTATCACTGTCAACACCATCATTACTAATAATACAACCATCACTAATAACAATCATCACTGATAACACAATCATCACTAATAATACAACATCATCATAACACAATCATCACTAATAACACAATCATCACCAATAACACAATCATCACTAGTAACGCAATTATCACTGTCAACACCATCATTACTAATAATACAACCATCACTAATAACAATCATCACTGATAACACAATCATCACTAATAATACAATCATCACTAATAACATAACCATCACTAATAACACAATCATCACCAATAACACAATCACCTCTAGTAACACAATCATCAATGAAACACAATCATCACTAAAAACACAATCATCACTAATAACACAATCAAAACTAATAATACAACAGCATTAATAACACAATCTTCACCAATAACACAATCACCACTAGTAACACAATCACCACTAATAACACAATCATCACTAATAACACAATAATCACTAGTAACACAATCATCACTAATAATACAACCATCACCAATAATACAATCACCACTAATAACACAATCATCACTAATAACACAATCAATAATCTCTAGTAACATACTAATCATCTGCTTTGTGATCTGTTCGCCAGATGCACAATTGACAGTTCAACGATGATGATGACTTCTCCCAACGCCACTGCGGCTAGATTCCACTTCAAGACGTTCCAGTTCCTCCAGGTGGAGGGTGAGGTCTTCATCAAGTGTGCCCTACTGGTGTGCAACGTCACGGACAAGTCCCAACTCTGTAGTCCTGCATGTTCCAGCAGTGACCGCCAGAGACGCAGCGCCGACAAAGTTCATTTTGTGGACGTCATGCAGGGGCCACTGATATTGAAGAGCAAGGCTCAACCAGGTATCTATAGGCAGTCGTCACCAGCAAGTCATACTTACCAACGACACACACTGACCAGGTCACTGTACTGTAGGCGGCCGCCAACGACACACACTGACCAGGTCACTGTACTGTAGGCGGCCGCCAACGACACATACTGGCGTAGTAAATGGGCCTACAAAATGTGTTCCAGTTCCATTGTTGGGTTGTCAATATTTTTAAACATAACAGGAATGTGAAACTTGTCCTCCAGCGAATGTGTAGTTGAAGAACTGCAAAACTGTCAATTGTCCCAGGAAACATTCTTGACTTCTTTTATTGTGCCGTGGATTTTCAAATAATCTGGTAGGACATATTTTTGATATAACATATATATGATTTCTTGTGTTCCAGTCCACAAGCCTCCCAGCACAATCCATGTGGGAGCTATCATTGCCACGTGTGTCGTTGTTGCGGTCGTTGTCATCGCAATCACGCTGTTTATGGTTTCACGGAAGAAGAAGGTCACGTCGTTCACAAATCAAGTATACAACGACTACGACAACCACAATGACATGGTGTCGATGATGCAAATGACACCCCCACCTCAAGTTAGGGATTGATGAGGAAACCGACAAACATCTGGGTATAGTCTGTCCTCACCTCGACCTACGTGTATCGCATCTCGCTGTACATATACTTACAAAGCCGAGCATCTCGGTATGTTCATCAGGACATAAAAAGACGCTCTTGTATGATGTTGACTCTATATATAGTTCTCCGGGATTCAGTGATTAAACTTAGGGTAGTGATTACCTGGCGCACTGCATACCTGAAATTAATGTTTACCTGGCACACTGTTTACCTTAAAGTAATTTACCTGGTGCACTGCTTACCTTAAAGAAATTTATCTGGCGCACTGCTACCCTTAACGTACCTAACCTTGCGCACTGCTTACCTTAAAGTAATTTACCTGGCGCACTGCTTACCTTAACGTACCTTACCTTGCGTACTGATAACCTTAAAGTAATTTACCTGGCATACTGCTTATCTTAAGGTAGTGCTTATCTGTCGCACTGCTTATCTTAAAGTAATTTCCTGGCGCACTGCTTACCCTAACGTAATTTACCTGGCGCACTACTTACCTTAAAGTAATTAACCTTGCATACAGCTTATCTTAAGGTAGTGTTTATCTGGCGCACTGCTTATGTTAAGGTAGTGTTTACCTTGTGCACTGCTTACCTTGAAGTTAATTCTCTGGCACACTGCTTACCTTAAAGTAATTTTCCTGGCGCACTGCTAACCTTAACGTCATTTACCTGGCGCACTGCTTACCTTTAAGTAATTTACATGGCGAAATGCTTACCTTCAAGTAATTTACATGGCATACAGCTTATCAAGTCAGAAGCAATCCTATGCACGTGTAAAATATTGAAACGTGTTCCTCACAAGGGGCAAAAGTGTGTGATGGTGTTTTGGTATATATAACATTATGTGTTTTGCTGACGCTTGAATAAACATATAAAATACCTCACGACTTATGAACTTTTGTACTGTCATTACTTCATCTCTTCTTATGTAGGAAGATATACTCTAGCACTGCCACCAGCCTCAACTGTACCTATATAGGTAGACAGACCTCACCCACGCCTTGCCAAGTAGCGTTATGTAACTGAGTGTAGATGTGTTTAGTATTGTTATGTAACTTGGTGTAGCTGGTGTTAAGTGGTGTTATGTAACTTAGTGTAGATGGTGTTAAGTAGTATTATGTAACTGGTTGTAGATGGTGTTAAGTAGTGTTATGTCACTTGGTGTAGCTGATGTTAAGTGGTGTTATGTAACTTGGTGTAGCTGGTGTTAAGTGGTGTTTTGTAACTTGGTGTACATGGTGTTAAGTGGTGTTTTGTAACTTGGTGTAGATGGCGTTAAGTGGTGTTATGAAAGTTGGTGAAGGTGGTGTTAAGTAGTGTTATGTAACTTGGTGTAGGGGGTGTTAAGTGGTGTTATGTAACTGGTTGTAGATGGTGGTAAGTAGTGTTTTGTAACTTGGTGTAGATGGTGTTAAGTGGTGTTATGTAACTGGTTGTAGATGGTGTTAAGTAGTGTTATGTAACTTGGTCTAGCTTATGTTCAGTGGTGTTATGTAACTGGGTGAATGTGGTGTTAAGTAGTGTTATGTAACTTGGTGTAACTGGTGATAAGTGGTGTTATGTAACTGGTTGTAGATGGTGTTAAGTAGTGTTATGTAACTTGGTGTAGCTGGTGTTAAGTGGTGTTATGTAACTGGGTGAAGGTGGTGTTAAGTAGTGTTATGTAACTTGGTGTAGCTGGTGTTAAGTGGTGTTATGTAACTGGTTGTAGATGGTGTTAAGTAGTGTTATGTAACTTGGTGTAGCTGGTGTTAAGTAGTGTTATGTAACTTGGTGTAGGTGGTGTTAAGTGGTGTTATGTAACTTGGTGTAGCTTATGTTAAGTGGTGTTATGTAACTGGGTGAAGGTGGTGTTAAGTAGTGTTATGTAACTTGGTGTAGGTTGTGTTAAGTGGTGTTATGTAACTGGTTGTAGATGGTGGTAAGTAGTGTTTTGTAACTTGGTGTAGATGATGATAAGTGGTGTTATGTAACTGGTTGTAGATGTTGTTAAGTAGTGTAATGTAACTTGGTGTAGCTGGTGTTAAGTGGTGTTATGTAACTGGGTGAAGGTGGTGTTAAGTAGTGTTATGTAACTGGGTGAAGGTGGTGTTAAGTAGTGTTATGTAACTTGGTGTAGCTGGTGTTAAGTGGTGTTATGTAACTGGTTGTAGATGGTGTTAAGTAGTGTTATGTAACTTGGTGTAGCTGGTGTTAAGTGGTGTTATGTAACTGGTTGTAGATGGTGTTAAGTGGTGTTATGTAACTTGGTGTAGTTTGTGTTAAGTGGTGTTATGTAACTGGTTGTAGATGGTGTTAAGTGGTGTTATGTAACTTGGTGTAGCTGGTGTTAAGTGGTGTTATGTAACTGATTGTAGCTGGTGTTAAGTGGTGTTATGTAACTTGGTGTATCTGGTGTTAAGTGGTGTTATGTAACTTGGTGAAGGTGGTGTTAAGTAGTGTTATGTAACTTGGTGTAGCTGATGTTAAGTAGTGTTATGTAACTGGTTGTAGCTGCTGTTCAGTGGTGTTTTGTAACTTGGTGTAGATGGTGTTAAGTCGTGTTTTGTAACTTGGTGTAAGTGGTGTTAAGTGGTGTTATGAAACTTGGTGTAGGTGGTGTTAAGTAGTGTTATGTCTCTTGGTGTAGATGGTGTTAAGTGTTGTTATGAACCTTTGTGTAGATGGTGTTAAGTAGCGTAATGTAACTGGGTGTCGATGGTGTTAAGTAGTGTTATGTAACTTGGTGTAGATGCTGTTAAGTAGTATGATGTAACTTGATGTAGATAGTCCGACGTTCCTCCGCGCTTGACATCAAATATAAGAAACGCTCCACAGTCTTCCACAGAAAGTTGTAACAAAGACACCTTTTTATTATTAGCTTAAAAGTCTTTGTACAACTTAGCATTTAGCGTCATCGTGTGTGGGCAATATATAGAAAAAATACAGGGATACAATACACACATAGCGTTCTCTAAATATGAATAAGATATTCAATGGGGACACTTGAACAGAGGGCAACGCTGATGATTGAAGGTACACATTCTTAGCACTAGGATGTGACTGCTGGGGAATGTTCAAGTTGATCAATGTCAAGGTCAGTTTGATGCCATGCGTGCTGGACATTTTGATCTTACCAAGTGACCAAAATTATTTTAGAAACAGAAAACAACCTATATTTCAACATTTAGAAAGAGGCATGCGTGTATTTGGCTGGAGTCCATCTGCTGGGGAAAGAGGACATCAACGATCTGTCTATCCCTGGTGCATATGTTTTACGTGGGGTATCTACGCCTTTGTCTGGGGATTCCTCGCATTGCTTCGTTTGAAGATTTTGACACCTGGCCCGTATTTTATCATGGCGAGGGTTATAGCCATGACCGACACCATGACGACACCGACTCCAACGCCAACCGCCGTCCCTGTTGAGAGTGTGCCACTGACATGGGACGTCTCATTCTGGGGCGGCATTTCTAAAACACCGGACTCGCTTCCCGGGATCGGTATTTCCATCGGGACTTGTGAGTCCCCGCTGGGGTGAGACGGTGTCCGACTTGTATCAGAGCCCCCGCTGGGGTGAGACGGTGTCCGACTTGTATCAGAGCCCCCGCTGGGGTGAGACGGTGTCCGACTTGTATCAGAGCCCCCGCTGGGGTGAGACGGTGTCCGACTTGTATCAGAGCCCCCGCTGGGGTGAGACGGTGTCCGACTTGTATCAGAGCCCCCGCTGGGGTGAGACGGTGTCCGACTTGTATCAGAGCCCCCGCTGGGGTGAGACGGTGTCTGACTTGTATAAGGATCCCCGCTGGGGTGAGACGGTGTCCAATGTGGGTCCGATGTAGCACTTAGGGGAGGCTCCCTGGCTTCTGTCTCTGCACTACGGTTTTCAACGTCAGAGCGGTGTTGGTAGCCATCAGTAGTACTGTCGCCTGTGGAGACTGGTTTCCCGTCCTTTACGCCAAACCGCACCTCTGCGAGCACAATCATACATGTGTGTGTATATATATGTACACTGCAGCTCGTATTCAGTAGAAGGACACTGTAGCTCACCTGCATAAATGTTACAGCAGTGAACATATAATTGAGTTACACATAATATATAAACCTAAACCTAAATAGCAACATTTCCTAAAACGGAAACAAAGAATATAACATAATGCGTAGATTGGTGCAATGCTATAAGGCTCACCTGAGTCTCCAGGCCTGCTGCTGGATACACTGCTATCAGACACGGCAGCATGTGGTGCTGATTGTGTTATGCCTGTCGAGTCTGAAAGAAACAATCCCTCGTGTATAGATGACTATGTACTCTTTACTGAGAATATTACAGGACAGTGTGTGCCCGTGTGTGTCAATTTGTGTTTGTGTCTGTGCATTTGTGTGCATGGGTGTGAGTGTGTGTGCATGTGTGTGTGTGTGTATGTGAGTGTGTGTGTGTTTGCATATGAGCGTGTGTGTATGTCAGTGTATATGTGCATGTGTTTGTGTCACTGTGTGTGTCTGTGTGTGTGTATGTACGTGTGCATGTGTGTATATGTATGTGTGTATGTGTCTGTGAGTGCATGTGCGTGCATGCCTGGGTGCGCACACGCGCGTGTGTGTATATATATGTGTGTGTATGTATGTTTGATCCAATATGGTGCCGCAGAGGTTACTTGCAAAATGCAAAATCTCCCGAACAAACCAAATTAACTCTAACGGCATATCTCATATTCCATTTACACCCATAAGTTAACAAACAGAGGGTGGCAGAGGGGAGGTGCTTGGACAGTGTTGTGTTATGTCCACGGCAGATGTATGTGAGTTTATCACTTTACTGACCTTTGCACTGAAGCAATGAACGGAAGTTTGAACGAAATTGCAATTTGGTTTTTATTTGTAGTCGTACTTGATTTCGCAGGCAGTGTGATGATAAATGGTCCTTGTTGGAGATCCACTACTTTTGTCTTGGAGGGTGTGTGGGGGTAGCACAGTCGGCAGGGGGCGTGCTTACACCTTTCAACTGTACAGAATATGTGCGCTTCCGTGGCGGACGTCAGTTTCTGCATGGAGGCGACGAAAATGTGGATGCCTCTCCGGGTCCACGTGACGTTCACGGTTCCGCGCGGACATCTAGGAAACAGGAACAAGCAGTGTGATATTGATAACAATGTTTGATGAGCGAGTAATGGGAGTCGGCTTAACGTGCCTGCTAAACCTGACTTAAGTCCAAAGAGGACGAGCCCTGACGGGGGAAACACTTGGCAACGTAAACCCTGGTGTTTCAGAACCTAGAGCTCTCAGGGATAAACTATAGAGCTGAAGAGCTGGCTAAATTCATCTGGATTATATTGTTGAAGGAACCTACGAATTAGTGATGAGGGGAAATCTCCTCCGGTCTTCCCTGGACAGGGCCATGAAGCAGTCACGTGGCTGGAGCTGAGAGGCCATTGTGGGATGAGATGTCGTGAAGAGGATGGTGAAGGCGGTGGAGTAGTCTACAATCACGGGGAACACGGATATCTTTTCACTGCCTTTGTAAATGTCCATCCAAATAGTAGTGTTAGTGGGCGGCCGCTGAGTGTTCTGGAGGACGCCAATGCTTTCGTAGACGAGCTGGGATCGCGGGAAGGGGCACCTGAGGATGCGACTGAATCTCCTGAATGTCCTGCCGTGCGAGAGGATGAACAGAAGCTTGTTGCTGAACGACGTCCTTGTTGCATTTTCCTGCAATGTATTTGTAAGGGCAGATGTCAGAAGGTACGATATACATAAGGGCATATGTCAGCAGGTGTGATGTATACAAGGGCAGATGTCAGAAGGTATGATATACACAAGGGCAGATGTCAGAAGGTATGATATACACAAGGGCAGATGTCAGAAGGTATGATATACACAAGGGCAGATGTCAGAAGGTATGATAAACACAAGGGCAGATGTCAGAAAGTATGATATACACAAGGGCAGATGTCAGAAGGTACGATATACATAAGGGCATATGTCAGCAGGTGTGATGTATACAAGGGCAGATGTAGGAAGGTATGGTGTATACACGGGCAGACGTCAGAAGGTATGATATACACAAGGGCAGATGTCAGAAGGTATGATATACACAAGGGCAGATGTCAAAAGGTATGATATACACAAGGGCAGATGTCAGAAGGTATGATATACACAAGGGCAGATGTCAAAAGGTATGATTTACACAAGAGCAGATGTCAGAAGGTATGATATACACAAGGGCAGATGTCAGAAGGTATGATATTCACAAGGGCAGATGTCAAAAGGTATGATTTACACAAGAGCAGATGTCAGAAGGTATGATATACACAAGGGCAGACGTCAGAAGGTATGATATACACAAGGGCAGATGTCAGAAGGTATGATAAACACAAGGGCAGATGTCAGAAGGTATGGTATACACAAGAGCAGATGTCAAAAGGTATGATTTACACAAGAGCAGATGTCAGAAGGTATGATATACACAAGGGCAGATGTCAAAAGGTATGATTTATACAAGGGCAGATGTCAGAAGGTATGATATACACAAGGGCAGATGACTAGGGTGATGATGTATACAAGGACAGATGTCAGAAGGTATGATATACACAAGGGCAGATGTAAGAAGGTATGTTGTATACAAGGGCAGATGTAGGAAGGTATGGTGTAGACAAGGGCAGACGTCAGAAGGTATGGTATACACAAGGGCAGACGTCAGAAGGTATGATATACACAAGGGCAGATGTCAATAGGTATGATTTACACAAGGGCAGATGTCAGAAGGTATGATATACACAAGAGCAGACGTCATAAGGTATGATATACACAAGGGCAGATGTCAGAAGGCATGATATACACAAGGGCAGATGTCAGAAGGTATGATATACACAAGGGCAGATATAAAAAGGTATGATATACACAAGGGCAGACGTCAGAAGGTGTGCTGTACACAAGGGCAGATGTCAGAAGGTATGATACACACAAGGGCAAATGTCAGAAGGCATGATATACACAAGGGCAGATGTCAGAAGGTATGATATACACAAGGGCAGATGTCAGAAGGCATGATATACACAAGGGCAGATGTCAGAAGTTATGATATACACAAGGGCAGATGTCAGAAGGTATGATATACACAAGGGCAGATGTCAAAAGGTATGATATACACAAGAGCAAATGACTAGGGTGATGATGTATACAAGGACAGATGTCAGAAGGTATGATATACACAAGAGCAGACGTCAGAAGGTATGGTGTATACAAGGGCAGATGTCAATAGGTATGATACACACAAGAGCATACGACAGAAGGTATGATATACACAAGGGCAGACGTCAGAAGGTATGATATACACAAGGGCAGATGTCAAAAGGTATGCTTTACACAAGGGCAGATGTCAGAAGGTATGATATACACAAGGGCAGATGTCAAAAGGTATGATATACACAAGAGCAGATGACTAGGGTGATGATGTATACAAGGAGAGATGTCAGAAGGTATGATATACACAAGAGCAGACGTCAGAAGGTATGGTGTATACAAGGGCAGATGTCAGAAGGTATGATACACACAAGAGCATACGACATAAGGTATGATATATACAAGGGCAGATGTCAGAAGGTATGATACACACAAGAGCATACGACAGAAGGTATGATACACACAAGGGCAGACGTCAGAAGGTATGTTATACACAAGGACAGATGTCAGAAGGTATGGTATACACAAGGGCAGATGTCAATAGGTATGATTTACTCAGGGGCAGATGTCAGAAGGTATGATAAACACAAGAGCAGACGTCAGAAGGTATGATATACGCAAGGGCATATGTCAGAAGGTATGATATACACAAGGGCAGATGTATGAAGGTATGATTTACTCAGGGGCAGATGTCAGAAGGTATGATAAACACAAGAGCAGACGTCAGAAGGTATGATATACGCAAGGGCAGATGTCAGAAGGCATGATATACACAAGGGCAGATGTCAGAAGGTATGATATACACAAGGGCAGATGTCAGAAGGCATGATATACACAAGGGCAGATGTATGAAGGTATGGTATACACAAGAGCAGATGTCAGAAGGTATGATATACACAAGGTACAATACAGACAAGTGTTTATGTGGTAAGATATGATATACACAAGCGTATATGTGTTAGGGTTGGATATATATACAAGGACACATCTAAACGTCACAACATCTGAAATACAGAAAATATGTCAAATATAAAGGATTAATTTGACCTCTTTCCTGATACTGCCAACATTGAGTACAAACGTTTAAACTAAATTATACTGATGAAATACAATTGATCAAAATAATGATAAATCTATAAATACAGTTTGACAAAGTAAACGTCTTTTGAAATATAAACAAAATGTTATTATGAACAACATATTTGTTAAACTTGTTGAACTTTTGACACTCACAGCTCGTTTGGTGTCACATGTGTTGAACTCTGCTGTGATGGAATATGTGTTGTTGACTAAACCAACACTGCACGAGGGGTCGGCCAAGGACACCCGCCACGCGCCGCTGACTTTATACTTCACAGACATCGCCGAAGAGTTGCAGAAGACCGAGAGCATGTCTGAAAATATATCGTCACGAATCTGTAGCTCTAACTCGGGACTACAAGATGCTCAGTACAGTGTGCTGGGCAGGGACTCTCCCTGGGGACGCCCAAAGTGTGCAGCCTTACAGTCAACACGGCCATTCTGAAGACCAAGCTGTTCTGGAAATATTATGTTGTGTAGATATTTAGTTAAAAGCGTGAGAATAATCCCAATGAACCTAGAGATCGTAACATCGCCTGATACACATGATACTTATAATTAATATTGTAATAATTAATATTGAAACAGCATTTCATCCTTATGTGATGGCATTTCAAGATGCAGGGGAGATAACTTGTAGCAAATAGTAGACACCGTGTGCCTGGTGACAGCCCAGACCATCATGGAGTCGGACAGACAACCCATGCTGACATATTGAATAGTTCGACTCAATTACAGGTATTAGAGTCTGTTCATACTGAATTTATGTGTGTGACCACTCGATACCGACCGTATTTACCTCCTGTGATTCAAGACAAGCCCAAAATATATTGGTGACTACTTTCTTATGTCAAGGAACCTCCACAACAACACAAACAGATCGTCTTACCATCTTCAAGACCTGCTTCAGCACTGCCGGCGGCTGTAGATAGAAACAAGTGTTAGGTGAAAGGGGGAAATCGAAGCAAGTTAATTTCTAACGTAGTTATTTTTACTCACACCAGATCACACCTGCCGACCGATAACGGTCACAATCAAACAATAACCACATCCCAATCTCCATTCAAACCCAGTGTCATCATCGCCGGTGTGTCTGCTTTGTGGATGAAGCCCTTCAATGATATTGTGTACGCATGTCAGTGTAGATGTGTTTGCTCACACACGTGGGACATCCGGGTATTTCGTCCATTAGAGTGAGTGAGTAAGTTGGGTTTATCGCCGCTTTTAACAGTATTCCAGTTATATCGCGGCGTGTCAGCTTAATGTTGGAGGAAAGCTCGAAGTGATGCAGGTCTCAGACGTTTACCACTTTGGTGAAACCAACGAGCACGGGCATGGTGCTGACAAACCAAGAAACATAATCAGGGCGAACCGGGATTCGAACCCACAATCATAGGTTTCTGGCGTGCCAAAGGGACGCAATTCTGCACAGCGAATCGCGGCGCCTTAGACGACTGGGCCACCCGTGCCCCCTCGTCCATTAGATGAACTGTTCCAGGTTGATGTATACTAACAGAAACAAGCAACTGTGCTTAGTATAGAGTGGTGTATATGTTATGTTATTAAACTTAACAACATGAAATTTGGCCATTCTCTGATCAATGTTACATCATAACACATTCACTGACAAGAGCCATGCCTGGTAACTGGAGACGGGGGGACAGGTCATAAAGAGGGCTGGTGTAACAACACAATTAACAATGTCAATATTGGACGTGACCGCCATTTCGTTGATACAGGTGAGGCGGCAGCGGCGGCGTATTGAAGACACCAGACGACTGAAAACAGCCTGGGGGATGTTTGTTTTTTAAGTTATTGAACTTACAATGAAGCACAGTTACTTTTTCCCGTCAGTATATATACTTATTTTTAAATTGCTTTAACCATGTATCAACAATGTTACTAATATACAGATAACAATATAGACCCTGTGCCCCCCCCCCCCCCCCCCCCAAACCGGGTTGTAACGATATTACCCCTGTTTCCCCAATAAATCCGTATTCCCCGAATGATTGTAAAGTTCTCCAGAGATAGTACACCTACGTTCCCAGGTGAGTAGAAAGCGGGTGCCTGTAGACGTCGTGCTGGAGACGAGGGTGAGGTTGAAGCTGTTCCCAGTGTAGGAGTACATCTCCGTTTTGTTGGTGTTGGGGAGACTGTAGGTGACGTTGAACCGGCGGGGAGGCGTCACCTGTCGCCGTGACATGGAAGTGAAATGATTCAACCGCTGTGTCTATCCTACTTAGTTTAACACCCATAGTCATAGTCACGCAGAAGGAACACTCCGGGCATTTTTTACAATATAAAATATATAACACAGTATCAAGCTGATTAACTATTTAAGAAGCAAGATGAGTAAAACGGCTTATCAGCGATCATGTTACAGAACTAAGTGAGTGAGTTGGGTTTAACGCCGCTTTTAACATTATTCCGGTTATATCACGGCGTGTCAGCTTAATGTGGGAGGAAAGCCTGAAGTCATGCAGGTCTCAGACGTTTACCACTTTGGTGAAACCCACGAGCACGGGTATGGTGCTGACAAACCTAGAAACATAATCGGGGCGAACCGGGATTCGAACCCACAATCATAGGTTTCTGGCGTGCCCAAGGGACGCAACTCTACACAGCGAATCGCGGCGCCTTAGACGACTGGACCACCCGTGCCACCTGTTACAGAACTGGTGAATCGAAGCCTTGTTTAGACATACGTAATAATCCTTCTGTGACATCCCGCCTTTCACTTTGTATTGCTATGTACCACAGTCAACAAGGAACACTCGAAATGCTAAATATCTACAGTCTACATTTAACACAAGATATATTATCTGTGGTTTATGTAAAACACATTGATATGATAGACATTCGTCAAGAATGGAGCGGCGGCAGTTCTCCAAAAGTCCACTACAGGCGGAATATCTTTAACCAAATACACTCAAATCAACCAATGTTATATATTTGATTTCTGAAACCAACCTCGCATGAGATCTTGACACAGGTGTGCCAAATTTGCTCGATTACACCAGACTTATTATGTGTTAATATGGACAGTCGTAGATTAAGTCGTAGATTTCACAAATACATGAATGTTGATTCATCGCCATGTATTGTCGATTGCGATTGTGAGATCACTGATATACATGAACGCCTTACTAGTATTGTGTCTGCTGCAGGGAAACGAAAGATCGTCAATATAAACAGTTTGGTCTGGTTCCTGGAGCTACTATTGATGGTGTAGACACAGGGCGAGTTTTCCAGGGCACCTGTCGCGGCGATGGAACCCGCCATCAGGGAGCTATTCGCGCCACACTTGGTGTCTGGAACACATGTGGGATTACGTTCAGACAGAGACAGTCGCAGGTTATAGTTCCCCACTATTACAATGTACATTATTGCAAAGCTATAAATTGCACTTTTTAAAGTACAGATTTTAACGCGAATTTGGTTGGATTTCAACAGTGTAGCATGTGTTCCCACTGTCGGGGTATATTCTCACCTGGTTGAAGATTGTGATTCGGTGTCGTCGAGGGGGTCAAAAGTATCTCACCTGGTTGTAGATAGTGACATAATTTTCGTTTCATACAGCGTTCGTATGATGTTTCCCAACCAATGTCTTTGTAAATATATCTATTTGATGCATATTTCGATAACCCCGGAACTATCCTTGCTAGTTCTAGTTGGATCTAGGGGCGGTCGGGTAGCCTAGTGGTTAAAGCGTTCGCTCGTCAAGCCGAACACCCGGGTTCCATTCCCAACATGGGTACATTTCTGGTGTCCCCCGCCGTGATATTGCTGGAATATTGCTAAAAGCGGCGTAAAACCAAACTCACTCAATCACTCCAGTTGGATCTGTTCAATCTTATGTGTCTTCTATTGGGTGTGATTTCTCGTGACAATCGTTCTGAGAAGGACCTGGAGGATTTGATTCAGAGTCTCCAGCAAGCTGGAGAAATAACAGATTTAGGATAATTATTTCAGTTTTTTTTCTGAATTGCGACCGTAATACACAAAGAAATGCGAATACAATGCTGGTCTTGCACGAAGTAGATAAAGAACATGCACATTATATAGTTCTGGAACAATCATGTCAATAGTGGACAGACCACATGTCTCCCATGTACGCATGAACTTATAACGCTTTACGCAATGAAAAGTCCCGATTGCCACACGATGATGAACAACGTTAGTACCCGTTACTTGGAGACAAGTTTGGAAGTAAGTTAAAAGCAGTGTGACACGAAAATCGGGAGATTTCGATGTTGTTCAATATATTTTGGATTGTAAAGTCGCAGTCTGGAAGTGCAGACCTGGTGAGATCAAGTTGAAATAGTTTATGAATCTGACATTGACAGAAAAGTAGGAAATTGAATGCAGACGAATTACATGATACAAACAATTAGTAAACATTAAGTACCGTATTCGACGTAATAAGCGCCCTGCTCTAATAAGCGCCCATGGCGATATTTTCTAATATATTTGCTAGTGAACAATCCCAATTAGCACCCCTTCCGATTGATCAATGTACACAAGACTTATTGATTCGTGTATAATACTCACTCGTGTGTTATATGCACCCTTAATTGTGGGCAATTAAATTCTGGAAAATATATCTCTCGTGTATGATACGTACATACTTTTCTTTTGAATCATTTCAGGCTGTCAGCATAAACTACTGTACGAAATTTACAATTTTTCAACTCTGTTTTTGTTAAAATTATATTCTAATAAGAGCCCACTATTTCCAATTTTGAGAGCGCCCTGGGCGCTTAATACGTCGAATACGGTATGTGGAAACACCATGCCGGAAAGAGGAGACTCAACTCAACTGGTGTATACAAACCCAAAACATTCAGTTATTGGTGTGCGATCCATGGACAAATGATTATGCTCTCATATAGCTGTCTAAAAATCCTGTGAACAGAATAACACTGATTTGCCCTTAGGTTGTTCAAGGATGAACACACGACCACCTCGACCAATGGTCCAGGTTGTTTCGTCCTCAGGTCGCGAACCATTTTGAACAGACAGGTGTACATGTAGGTGTACAGATACAAATACAGAAATGTGTACATACATGTACGTACATACAGGATCCCTGCAGATCCGGGGTAGAATGGGTCTTCAGCAACCGTAAAAGGCGACTATGCTTGTCGTAAGAGGCGACTAACGGGATTGGGTGGTCCGGCTGCTGACTTGGTTGATACATGTCATCGTATCTCAATTGCGTGGATCGATGCTCATGATGTCAATGACTGGATTGTCTGGTCCAGACTCGATAATTTACAGACCGCCGTCATATAGCTGGATTATTGCTGAGTGCGGCGTTGAACAACAAACAAACAAACCTACATGCAGGTGTTCAGACAGGCGTGTGACAGTACAGAGATATATCCTACCGCCCTGTCAGCTGCCGCATTTCGACCTACACAGCTGGGGTTCAGTACGGAACAAGTAACACATGGATGACAACTTCTGATTCTGATGCGACGTCACGGTAGATATCCTCAAACCGTTGTCAAACACTCCTAATATAGACAACGTCATCCATAAACTATCTTGTCTTTCCCATTAATTCCCAACTTCTAAAAATGCAAATCAAACACTTTAGTACAGAACTCTTTCTCACCATCCTGACATTTTCCACACGTCTTCATGCATCGCTGTCGCTTGGCCGGGTTTTGACACAGATTCCTCTTCTTAATGGAGTCACACGTGTCGTAGGTGAGCTTGTCTTTACAACGACCCCTTTGTACTGAAATAACAAATCGCATGCGGCATGCTTAGCAGCGGCGTCTCATCTTGAGTTTAACTTGTGACAACATAGAAACAAATTGCAGTTACCTACATGTGTTGATAACATTTGTATTATCACGGATTGTTGGCGCTCATATTGACACATTGAAACATATTATGTCCGGGAATATGATGGGGAATTCTCTGTTTAATCTTAACCCCCAGACACCCATACGTATGTCATCATTCTCAGCTTGACTTTTATGGCCATACTCTCGGCTTCTGTGGCTAGACACTATCAAGGATTGTGATTGAAAGCATGTACGTGTGAAATACCACGTGTACTTACTGTCTCTACTGAAATGAAGCCACGTGTACTTACTGACTCCACCGGAAGCCATGTCTACTTACTGTCTCTACCGGAAGGTACGAGTACTTACTGTCTTTACCGGAAGCCATGTCTGCTTACTGTCTACCGGAAGCCACGACTAATTATTGTATCTACCGGAAGCCACTAGTACTTACTAAAGCCACGGAACGGAAGCCACGTGTACGTAATGTCTCTACCAGAAGCCATGATTTTTAACTGTTTCCACCGGCACAGAAGCCACGTGTACTTACTGTCGCTACCGGAACAGAAGCCACGTGTACTTACTCTGTCTACAGGTACAGAAGCCATGCGAACTTGTTGTCTTTACCGGAAACCAAGTGTAGTAACTGTCTCTACCGGAAGCCACGTGTACTTACTGTCTCTACCTGAAGCCACAGGTACGTACTGTCTCTACAGGAACAGAAGTCACGTGTACTTACTGTCTCTACCGGAAGCCACGTGTACTTACTGTCTTTAAAAGAAGCCGCGTTTAGGTACTGTCTCTAATGGAACAGAAACTACCTGTACATACTGCCTCTACTGGAATCCACGTGTACTTACTGTCTCTACCGCAACAGAAGCTACGTGTACTAACTGTCTCTACCGGAAGCCACGTTTAGGTACTGTCTCTAACGGAACAGGGGCCACCTGTACATACTGTCTCTACCGGAAGCCACGTGTACTTACTGTCTCTACCGGAAGCCACGTGTACTTACTGTCTCTACAGGAACAGAAGCCACGTGTACTTACTGTCTCTACCTGAAGCCACAGGTACTTACTGTCTCTACAGGAACAGAAGCCACGTGTACTTACTGTCTCTACCTGAAGCCAACGGTACTTACTGTCTTTAAAAGAAGCCACGTTTAGGTATTGTCTCTAATGGAACAGAAGCCACCTGTACATACTGCCTCTACCGCAAGCCACGTGTATTTACTCTCCCTTCAGGAATATAAGCCACGAGTACTAACAGTCTCAACGGGAACAGAAGCCACGTGTACTAACTGTCTCTACAGGAACTGAAGCTACGTGTACTTACTGTCTCTAACGGAACAGAAGCCACGAGTACTTACTGTCTCTACAGGAACTGAAGCTACGTGTACTTACTGCCTCTACAGGAACAGAAGCCGAGAGTACTTACTGTCTCTACAGGAAGCCACGAGTACTTACTGTCTCAACAGGAACTGAAGCCACGAGTACTTACTGTCTCAACAGGAACTGAAGCTACAGGTACTTACTGTCTCAACAGGAACAGAAGCCACGAGTACTTACTGTCTCTACAGGAAGCCATGAGTACTTACTGTCTCTACCGGAACAGAAGCCACAAGTACTTACTGTCTCTACCGGAACTGAAGCTACGTGTACTAACTGTCTCTACAGGAACAGAAGCCACGAGTACTTACTGTCTCTACAGGAACTGAAGCCACGAGTACTTACTGTCTCTACAGGAACTGAAGCCACGAGTACTTACTGTCTCTACAGGAACTGAAGCTACGTGTACTTACTGTCTCTACAGGAACAGAAGCTACGAGTACTTACTGTTTCCATCAGAAGTCACGTGTATTTACTGTCTCTACCGGAAGCCACTAGAACTTATTGTATCTACTGGAAGCCACTAGTACTTTCTGAAGCCACATAACAGAAGCCATGAGTACTTAATGTCACTACCAGAAGCCATGATTATTTACTGTTTCCACCGGCACAGAAGCCACGTGTACTTACTGTCTCTTCCGGAAGCTATGTGTAATTTCTATCTCTACCGGAAGCCACGAGTACTTACTGTCTCTACAGGAACTGAAGCTACGTGTACTTACTGTCTCTACAGGAACTGAAGCTACGTGTACTTACTGTCTCTAACGGAACAGAAGCAACGAGTACTTACTGTCTCTACAGGAACTGAAGCTACGTGTACTTACTGCCTCTACAGGAACAGAAGCCACGAGTACTTACTGTCTCTACAGGAAGCCACGTGTACTTACTGTCTCAACAGGAACTGAAGCTACGTGTACTTACTGTCTCAACAGGAACAGAAGCCACGAGTACTTACTGTCTCTACAGGAAGCCATGAGTACTTACTGTCTCTACCGGAACAGAAGCTACAAGTACTTACTGTCTCTACAGGAACTGAAGCTACGTGTACTAACTGTCTCTACAGGAACAGAAGCCACGAGTACTTACTGTCTCTACAGGAACTGAAGCCACGAGTACTTTCTGTCTCTACAGGAACTGAAGCTACGTGTACTTACTGTCTCTACAGGAACAGAAGCTACGAGTACTTACTGTTTCCATCAGAAGTCACGTGTATTTACTGTCTCTACCAGAAGCCACTAGAACTTATTGTATCTACTGGAAGCCACTAGTACTTTCTGAAGCCACATAACAGAAGCCATGAGTACGTAATGTCACTACCAGAAGCCATGATTATTTACTGTTTCCACCGGCACAGAAGCCACGTGTACTTACTGTCTCTTCCGGAAGCTATGTGTAATTTCTATCTCTACCGGAAGCCACGAGTACTTACTGTCTCTACAGGAACTGAAGCTACGTGTACTTACTGTCTCTACAGGAACAGAAGCTACGAGTACTTACTGTTTCCATCAGAAGTCACGTGTATTTACTGTCTCTACCGGAAGCCACGAGAACTTATTGTATCTACTGGAAGCCACTAGTACTTTCTGAAGCCACAGAACAGAAGCCATGAGTACGTAATGTCACTACCAGAAGCCATGATTATTTACTGTTTCCACCGGCACAGAAGCCACGTGTACTTACTGTCTCTTCCGGAAGCTATGTGTAATTTATATCTCTACCGGAAGCCACGAGTACTTACTGTGTCTACCAGAAGCCACGTGTACTTACTGCTCTAACGGAAGCCACAGGTACTTACTGTCTCTACAGGAACAGAAGTCACGTGTACTTACTGTCTGTACCGGAAGCCACGAGTACTTACTGTCTCTACTAGAAGCCACGTTTAGGTACTGTCTCTAACGGAACAGAAGCCACGTGTACAAACTGTCTCCACCGGAAGCCACGTGTACTTACTCTTTCTACAGGAAATGAAGCCACGTGTACTTACTCCCTTTAGAAGTAACGTGTACTTAATTTTTCTACCAGAACAGAAACCACTTGTACCCACTCTGTCAATAGGTACAGAAGCCATGTGAACTCATTGCCTTTACCGAAAACCAAGTGTACTAACTGTCTCTACCGGAACAGAAGCCATGTGTACTTGCTGTCTCTACCGGAACAGAATAAAATAATACTTACTGTCTCTACCGGAACAGAAGCCACGACTACTTACTTTCTCTACAGGTACAGAAGCCACGACTACTTACTGTCTCTACCGGAAGCCATGAGTACTTACTCTGTCTACAGGTACAGAAGCCACGACTACTTACTGTCTCTACCGGAAGCCGTGAGTACTAAGTGTCTCTACCGAAACAGAAGGCACAAGTCCGTATTGTCTCTACCGGTACTTACTGTCACTACCGGAACAGAATCAAATGGTGCTTACTGTCTCTACCGGAACAGAATCAAATAGTACTTACTGTCTCTACCGGAACAGAAGCCACGACTACTTACTGTCTCTACAGGTACAGAAGTCACGTGTACTTACTGTCTCTTCCGGAAGCCACGAGTACTTACTGTCTCTACCGGAAGCCACGTGTACTTACTGTCTCTACCTGAAGCCACAGGTACTTACTGTGTCTACAGGAACAGAAGCCATTTGTACTTATTGTCTTTACCGGAAAACAAGTGTAGTAACTGTCTCTACCGGAAGCCATGAATACTTACTGTCTCTATCGGAACAGAAGGCACAAGTTCTTATTGTCTCTACCGGAACAGAAGCCAAATGTTCCGACTGTCTCTACCGGAACTGAAGCCACGTGTACTTACTGTCTCTACCGGAACAGAAGCCACGACTACTTACTGTCTCTACGGGTACAGAAGCCATTAGTACTTACTGTGTCTACCGGAAGCCACGTGAACTTACTGTCTCTACCGACCTGTGAAGACCTGGGGTAGAATAGGTCTTCAGCAACCCATGCTTGCCGTAAAAGGCGAATATGCATGTCGTAAGAGGCGACTAACGGGATCAGGTGATCAGGCTCGCTGACTTGGTTGATGCATGTCATCGTTTCCCAATTCCGTGGATCGATGCTCATGATATCAATCACTGAATTGTCTGGTCCAGACTCGATTATTTACAGCCCGCCATCACATAGCTGGAATATTGCTGAGTGCGGCATTAAACAACAAACCAACCAACTGTCCCTACCGAAGCCACGTGTACTTACTATTTCTTTTGGAACAGAAGCCGCATGTCCGTTTACACTTGTATTTCATTGTTCTCTTCGTATCCGACTTTACCGAATCACACAGGCCCTCAATGGCCTTCGTATCACACTTGGCTGGCACCAGGGAGTCAATACACTGCTTGGCATCTGGAAGGATAGACGTTGTTGAAGATGTTCAACAAGGTGTTACTGGTGTGTGAGTCGGTCCCCATAGACAACCAACGTTTAATTGGATGTGTGAGAGTGGTTCGGTCACGATGCACACACGTGGTTTAACTGGATGTGTGAGAGTGGTTCGGCCACGATGCACACACGTGGTTAAACTGGATGTGTGAGAGTGGTTCGGCCACGATGCACACACGTGGTTTAACTGGATGTGTGAAAGTGGCTGGGTCACCATATACACACCTGGTTTAACTGGATGTGTGAAAGTGGCTGGGTCACCATATACACACCTGGTTTAACTGGATGTGTGAAAGTGGCTGGGTCACCATACACACAAATGGTCTTACTAGATGTGTGAGAGTGGGTCTGTCACCATATACACACCTGGTTTAACTGGATGCGTGATAATGGTTCGGCCATAATATACACAAATGGTTTTACTGGATGTGTGAGAGTGGGTCGGTCACCACTGACACATTATTTTGCTGAGTCGTCTTCTGGCCAGTAACAGTTTGTAGGCACAGTCGACATAGTCATAGTCACAGTGTAGGAGTAAACACAGTCACAGTGTAGGAGTAAACATAGTCACAGAGTAGGAGTAAACACAGTAACAGAGTAGGAGTAAACACAATGATAGAGTAGGAGTAAACATAGTCACAGAGTAGGAGTAAACAATGTCACAGAGTAGGAGTAAACATAGTGACAGAGTAGGAGTAAACACAGTAACAGAGTAGGAGTAAACACAATGATAGAGTAGGAGTAAACACAGTCACAGAGTAGGAGTAAACAATGTCACAGAGTAGGAGTAAACAGTCACAGAGTAGGAGTAAACACAGTCACAGAGTAGGAGTAAACAGTCACCGATTAGGAGTAAACACAGTCACAGAGTAGGAGTAACCACACTCACAGAGTAGGAGTAAACAATGTCACAGAGTATGAGTAAACAGTCACAGAGTAGGAGTAAACACAATGATAGAGTAGGAGTAAACACAGTCACAGAGTAGGAGTAAACACAGTTACAGAGTAGGAGTAAACACAATGATAGAGTAGGAGTAAACACAGTCACAGTGTAGGAGTAAACACACTCACAGAGTAGGAGTAAACACAGTCACAGAGTAGGAGTAACCACACTCACAGATTCGGAGTAAACAATGTCACAGAGTAGGAGTAAACACAGTCACAGAGTAGGAGTAAACACAGTCACAGAGTAGGAGTAGTCACAGAGTAGGAGTAAACGCAGTCACAGAGTAGGAGTAAACACAGTCACAGAGTAGGAGTAAACACAGTCACAGAGTAGGAGTAACCACACTCACAGAGTAGGAGTAAACAAAGTCACAGAGTAGGAGTAAACAGTCACAGAGTAGGAGTAACCACAGTCACAGAGTAGGAGTAAACAATGTCACAGAGTAGGAGTAAACAGTCACAGAGTAGGCGTAAACACAATTACAGAGTAGGAGTAAACACAGTTACAGAGTAGGAGTAAACACAGTCACGGAGTAGGAGTAAACACAACATCTGTGCTGTCAGGGACACGCAATACCAGAAGATGACGCATTCCCCACATTCTATTTTTCTCTATACTGTATACACTTTCTTCATCTGAAACCATGACCTGTGCAGGTTGTATGGTTGACAGTATATAGCACACTCACCTTTAATTGAGGGTCGTTTTTCACACACTCTGCCCAGCCGTTTGAGACACCGCAGCCCAGAGTAGCGACCGTCTATCGAGGACATGGATAGACAGCGTTGTGTGTTAGACATTGTACGTACAACGTTGCTCTGATTCACGGGCATCTTGTTCATCCACGTCCAGGAATCGGGAGCCACAAACCTACTGCCCCCGATGTAGTAATCAGTGGACCTGTAATCTACAACAAAGAGGTGATTTGATGGAAACAACAAAAAACAATCTGGCAGAAATGACGGTTAAATTGGCTTCAGCGAGAACACTGACTAGCTGTCTGCATCGGTGCAGACATGATACCGTCATTGAACGGCGTGCACTTGAACAATAACAGCGATCAGCTGAAACAGGGCTGTTGTGTGACTGACCACCACTCGAACGGTTAAATTAACATTTGACACTTAACACTACATCTGCTAATACCTGATCATTTTGCTTTTGACCTACATACAATGTACACTTGACCGTTTAACCCACCCGCCAGTTAGACCATGATTGACTAAAATGTTTCTTACTGAAATTTGAACACATCGCCAACCAGCACTTCGGCAATAGCACAAACGTAATACCGTTAGTTTATCCTACTTTGTCTTCATGGCATCTTTGGCTGTCTGGTACTTCACTACAAAACGGCCAACTTTAAGACACTGTGCAGCTTTATGGACTGTCTGGTACTTCACTTCAATACGCCCTACTTTCAGACACTGTGCAGCTTTATGAACTGTCTGGTTCTTCACTACAATAATACTATTTTAAGACACTGTACAGCTTTATGAACTGTCTGGTTCTTCACGGGGGATGGACTGTCTGGAGCTTCACTACAATGCGTCCTACTTTAAGACACTGTACTGCTTTATGGACTGTCTGGTTCTTCATTACAATACGTCCTACTTTAAGACACTGTGCAGCTTTATGAACTGTCTGGATCCTCACTACAATAATACTATTTTAAGACACTGCACAGGTTGATGGACTGTCTGGAGCTTCACTACAATGCATCCTACTTTAAGACACTGCACAGCTTCGTGAACTGTCTGGTACTTCACTACAATACGCCCTACGTTCAAGTCACTGTACAGCTTCATGGAATGATGGGTTATTCACTACAATACGTCCTCCTTTATGACACTGTACAGCTTCATGGACTGTCTGATCCTCACTACAATACATCCTACTTTGAAGACACTGTACAGCTTGATGGAATGTCTGATCCTCACTCCAATACATCTTAATTTAAGACACTGTACAGCTTGATGGACTGTCTGATGCTCACTTCAATACATCCTACTTTAAGACACTGTACATCTTCATGGAGTGTCTGGTACTTCGCTACAATACATCCTACTTTAAGACACTGTACAGCATTAAGGACTGTCTGGTTCCTCACTACAATACATCCTACTTTAAGACACTGTACAGCATTAAGGACTGTTTGGTTCTTCACTACAATACATCCTACTTTAAGACACTGTACATCTTCATGGAGTGTCTGGTACTTCACTACAATACATCCTACTTTAAGACACTGTACAGCATTAAGGACTGTTTGGTTCTTCACTACAATACATCCTACTTTTAGACACTGTACATCTTCATGGAGTGTCTGGTACTTCACTACAATACATCCTACTTTAAGACACTGTACAGCACTAGGGGCTGTCTGGTTCATCACAACAATACGTCCTACTTTCAAGAATTGTAGTTTTATTGACTTTCTGGTACTTCACTACAGTACATGCTACCTTCCAGACTCTGTACAGCTTCATGGACCGCCTGGTGTTTCACTTCAGTGTTGAGTTCAGCGAGAAAGCCTCCTGGCGTGGCCGCACACGCCCTCACGGCGGCATACCAGGTTGTACGGCTTGTCTCCAACTTGAAGCAGAAGTCTTCTTCTACATGATAGAAATAGCCTTCCTGTACTGGGCAGCGCCATGGCAGCTTACTTGGGGCTGTGAACACACAAATATTCAACAAGATAGGACAAATGAACTGCGACCTCGTATATGTATTGGTCAATTCATCGACGACCTCGCGGACACACTGGACAATTGATCTACGACCTCGCGGACACACTGTACAATTGATCTACGACCTCGCTGACACACTGTACAATTGATCTACGACCTCGCGGACACACTGTACAATTGATCAACGACCTCGCTGACACACTGGACAATTGATCTACGACCTCGCTGACACACTGTACAATTGATCTACGACCTCGCGGACACACTGTACAATTGATCTACGACCTCGCGGACACACTGTACAATTGATCTACGACCTCGCTGACACACTGGACAATTGATCTACGACCTCACTGACACACTGAACAATTGATCTACGACCTCGCGGACACACTGTACAATTGATCAACGACCTCGCTGACACACTGGACAATTGATCTACGACCTCGCTGACACACTGTACAACTGATCAACGACCTCGCTGACACACTGGACAATTGATCTACGACCTCGCTGACACACTGTACAACTGATCTACGACCTCGCTGACACACTTGACAATTGATCTACGACCTAACTGACACACTGAACAATTGATCAACGACCTCGCTGACACACTGGACAATTGATCTACGACCTCGCGGACACACTGTACAATTGATCTACGACCTCGCTGACACACTGGACAATTGATCTACGACCTCGCTGACACACTGGACAATTGATCTACGACCTCACTGACACACTGGACAATTGATCTACGACCTCGCGGACACACTGTACAATTGATCTACGACCTCGCTGACACACTGGACAATTGATCTACGACCTCACAGACACACTGAACAATTGATCTACGACCTCGGACACATATAATGGTTGTAATGTAATGGGCCTAAAAGCTGCGTAAAACCATACTCACTCACTCCTGCCTACAGCACACCTACAGTATCAAACAATGCTGAATGAAGTCATGTGTCACCCGTGAGAGAACGACTAGGTCTGCTTGCCTGAACACACTGCAGGTTCTGCATCCCACTGGCCAGTCTTCTGGCACACGAGGGAGGTGTGGCCAATTGGCCTGTAGTTGTTGCGGCAACCAACGCGAAGCTCTGTTCCCCGGGAGCGAGATGTGTTTGTTGCCTGCAGTCCATTCAGGTTGTACTTGTTGAAAAGACCTGAAGGCAGACGATTGTCTTCCAAAGGAGGACAATCTGGAAAGACACACAATTAGTAGTCGAATTTACAGCCCGTGGCAAGTAAATCCGAAACCACAGTGAGTAATAAGTAGGTGAGACAGCAGTGCGTGATAATTAAACCTACATTGCGTGATAAGATTGTTTGTTTGTTGTTTAACGCCGCACTCAGCAATATTCCTGCTGTATGACAGCGGTCTGTAAATAATCCAGTCTGGACCAGACAATCCAATGACTGACATCATGAGCATCGATCCACGCAATCGGGATCGATGACATGCATCAACCAAGTCAGCGAGCCTGACCACCCGATCCCGTAAGTCGCCTCTTACGACAAGCGTACTCGCCTTTTACGGCAAGCACGGGTTGCTGAAGACCTATTCTATCCCGGATCTTCACGGGTTGCGTGATAAATAGGTTAATCTACAGTGCATGAAAATATACAGTGCGTGATAATGTTTGTTAATCTAAATTGTGTGACAAGTAAATCAAAATTGCGTGGTAAGTAGGCGAATCATCAATGCGTGATAAGTAAATCTTCAATGCGTGAGTAGGTGAATGTTCAGTGCCTGATAGGAAGGTGAATCTACAGTGCGTGAGTACAGTACAGCACTAACATGGCTCTACCAATACTCACGTCACTGAGTACACATTAAGAAACTCTACCAATACTCACGTCACTGAGTACACATTAAGAAACTCTACCCATACTCTCGTCACTGAGTACACATTAAGAAACACTACCAATACTCACGTCAATGAGTACACATTAAGAAACTCTACCAATACTCACGTCAATGAGTACACATTAAGAAACTCTACCAATACTCACGTCACTGAGTACACATTAAGAAACTCTACAATACTCACGTCACTGAGTACACATTAAGACACTCTACCAATACTCACGTCACTGAGTACACATTAAGAAACTCTACCAATACTCTCGTCACTGAGTACACATTAAGAAACTCTACCAATACTCACGTCAATGAGTACACATTAAGAAACTCTACCAATACTCTCGTCAATGAGTACACATTAAGAAACTCTACCAATACTCACGTCACTGAGTACACATTAAGAAACTCTACCAATACTCACGTCAATGAGTACACATTAAGAAACTCTACCAATACTCTCGTCACTGAGTACACATTAAGAAACTCTACCAATACTCACGTCACTGAGTACACATTAAGAAACTCTACCAATACTCTCGTCACTGAGTACACATTAAGAAACTCTACAATACTCACGTCACTGAGTACACATTAAGAAACTCTACCAATACTCTCGTCACTGACCTGTACGGGCTTGCTTCCTTCCTTTCACTACCACTTCACAGAGAGACAGGCCAGGCTCGTATTTTGCGACCCGAACGTAACGGCCAACAGCAGAAGGTTTGCAGGTGAGTGTCAGGGTGTGGCCACAGTGAAGAGTCTTCTGTCGCGGGTCACACAGATTCCCTTTGGACCTGGGGTTGCGTGGAATAACATCCTCGCCGTAGACTACCACATGTATGCCCCGCATCTCCAAACCTTACACCGGAACGGAGAAACAATGTGTGCATGTTATATTTACGCCGCACTCAGTTTGATGATGATTCCAGCTGACTATACATATTTTTGACCGAACCACGTCTCATGCCTCACTGAACTTAACCGACTATCATGTCTAAGAAAAAATAATTTAATTGACACCCACCATCATGTCAAGACTAGAACAGATTAACTTAGTGATAGTGACTCTGCTTTGTGCAGAGATTTCTACTGGATATGGAAAGGGTTTTGTTGCTGTATTTAAACCGATTATCTTGCCAAGGCTAGAATAGATTTACTTAAGCCGACCGTCATCCCAAGGCTAGAGTAGATTAACCCACTTCGACCACCATATCAAGATCAGAATAGATTAACCTACAACAATCATTATGTTATGGCAAAAAAAGATTAACTAACACCGACCGTCATGCCAAGGCAAGAATAGATTAACCTACTTCGACCACCTATGTCAAGATCAGAATAGATTCACCTACTTCGACCACCATGTCAAGATCAGAATAGATTCACCTACTTCGACCACCATGTCAAGATCAGAATAGATTAAGCTACTTCGACCACCATGTCAAGATCAGAATAGATTCACCTACTTCGAACACCATGTCAAGATCAGAATAGATTAAGCTACTTCGACCACCATGTCAAGATCAGAATAGATTAAGCTACTTCGACCACCATGTCAAGATCAGAATAGATTAACCTACTTCGAACACCATGTCAAGATCAGAATAGATTAAGCTACTTCGACCACCATGTCAAGATCAGAATAGATTAAGCTACTTCGACCACCATGTCAAGATCAGAATAGATTCACCTACTTCGACCACCATGTCAAGATCAGAATAGATTAACCTACTTCGACCATCATGTCAAGATCAGAATAGATTAAGCTACTTCGACCACCATGTCAAGATCAGAATAGATTAACCTTGCTACTTCGACCATCATGCCAAGATCAGAATAGATTAACTTACAACGATCATTATGTCAAGGCAGGAATAGATGAACTTACATCGACCGTCATACCAGGGCTAGACTATATTTACTTACACCGATCGAGGCTATTAAATATTAACTGGCAGCGATCGTGAAACCAGGGCAAGACTAGATTGTCTTACATCGAGAATCGTGTCTGCTGGTGATGGTGACTATCTGGACCTGGTAGATGCCCTGTAGGTCGACCTGCCACCAGGGCCGTGTGTCGTGCATGTGTGAGATGGAGCAGTTAGTGCCAACGAAGTTGTGGTCAAAGATCCCATCCACCGCCATGGCCGCAGAACTGATGTTGAAGTGCTCGGCAGAGCTCATGGAAGCGGGCTTGTTCCTGGCAAGATTCTCTCTGATGTCTGAAAGTATTTTACGCCAACTACAGCCATCGCGCTGGTATGTGTGTATTTCGGACTGGTGTACTAGATCCGTACATCTATGTGCGTCTGGTAAAATATACACTTATATACATGTTGTACCATACCCTCATATATTGCTTACAGCAGTGTCTGACTAGTATGTGTGAACAGTACTTGTGATGAGTAAAACGTTATTTGATTGATAAGAGTGACTTGTACAGTTTATGTGTCTAATAGTGGGATGTGTACATCTACATGTGACTGATATGTGTGATGCGTACACCTTCCTGTGACTGATATGTGTGATGCGTACACCTTTATGTGTCTGATATGTGTGATGCGTACATCTTTATGTGTCTGATATGTGTGATGCGTACATCTTCATGTGACTGATATGTGTGATGCGTACATCTTCATGTGACTGATATGTGTGATGCGTACATCTTCATGTGACTGATATGTGTGATGCGTACACCTTCCTGTGACTGATATGTGTGATGCGTACACCTTCCTGTGACTGATATGTGTGATGCGTACATCTTCATGTGATTGATATGTGTGATGCGTACATCTTCATGTGACTGAAGTGTGTGATGCGTACATCTTCATGTGACTGATATGTGTGATGCGTACATCTACATGTGACTGATATGTTTGATGCGTACATCTACATGTGACTGATATGTGTGATGCGTACATCTACATGTGACTGATATGTGTGATGCGTACACCTTCATGTGACTGATATGTGTGATGCGTACACCTTCATGTGATGGTTGTGTGCACTGATAGAGATACTCACCAAGACAAGCGGGGGGCAGTTTGTTCCACCTTCCAGATCGAAGACACTTCAGTTTTTTAGGCCCCGCAACTGCCAGGCCGTCAGTGCATTTGTTGATTGTGACGTCAGAACCTTCCTTCGTGCTGAATGATGACAGAACGTACTTAGCCCCTTGAAGGGACGGACATTCTGAAACCAGTTTATCATACCTCCATGTCAGAATGATGAGATCTGATTGGCTCACATGATCTTGATAAAATACTGTTTCCCTCCTGGGAAGGAAATAAATTTCTGAGCGCGAGAATAAATCCCTTATACCCCGACACGAAGACAGGTTGCACGTGGATTTCTGAGCTCCAGAATAAATCCCCTATACCCCTCTCCGAAGAAAAAGGCCGCATGCCACGGTACAAAAAAAGTGCATAATATCGAAAATAAAGTTTTGTTTCTGTATGTCATTGTGTTTACTGGAATGCTGCGTTTGATATCTGCGTGGCTGATAGAAAAGTGATGTGCTTACGATATGTGTCAGAACGTCTGAAAGAAGTGAAGAGGTTAACTGTATAAGTGAATGTGACGTACCAACTTCCTGTCGCTTTCCAATCACTACCACCTCGCACAGAACGAGGACAGGGCTGTGTTTCTCTATGACAACCATGTTACCAACCACGCCCTCCCCACACCGGAACTGATCTGTTTGACCACAGCCTTTCACCTCAGCGTTTTTAACGCAGTACTTCAAAGTCTCTATTGCTGTCATCAGATTTTTGTTGATAACTTTGATATCGAAACGAGCATTGCCTGAAATGTGTATAATTTGCAGACCTAAATAATTATATTGCTTCACAATTTTATGATAAATTGATACGTTACAGTTATTGATGCCAAGCATTACACGTTTTCTCTCATCGACTCCATGTTTGTTTGATTGTTTTTAACGTCACACTCAGCAATATGCCAGCTATATGGCGGCGGTCTGTAAATGATCGAGGCCGGACCAGACTGTCCAGTGACTGACATCATGAGCATCGATCCACGCAATTTGGATTCAATGATATCAACCAAGTCATGGAGCCAAGTTAGTCAGCTCTATCGCCAAGCATGGGTTGCTGAAGACCTATCTGCACGGGGGCAACGCCGTGCGTTTAGCGTCAATATTAAAATCTTAAATGGACGTTTTTGTTCTGTCGACCAAATATTCTAATATTTACGCACAGGTCTCTATGCCGTTTACGACGTAGACTTTATTGACAGTGTGTACAGCTCCAAGGTCAACGCGCCACCATGGTCGCTTGTCGTCTGGGCGGGATCTTGCACAACGCGGAGGTCTCCCGTCTGAAGGGAATTTGGCGTCATTAGCTAGGCGTGCTGCACCTTTTGTGTTGAGAGTAGTTGAGAGAGAGGACGCTTTCCACTTAGCAACATCAGTCCTCATATCTGAAGGGAAATAACCATGTTGTACATACTTCATGTTCTTTATAACAGGCTAAAACAGCAAGAATTGATATGTCCAGACAGGATTGGCATTCTACACTTTCAGGAAGTTCGAGATACGACACATATCGTAATATTAAGTCTCTCCTTGAACCAGGGTCGTATCTTTCAAATTTAAGATGCAAACACCTCCGCTATACCTTTATACGTTTTAGACTTGGTCTGGAGGATTTAAAAGTAAATAGTGGACGATATTTAAATATTGAAACGTCACTAAGAACTTGCCCCGTCTGTAACCTTGGTGCTGAAGACGAATTTCATTTCATGTTTATTTTCCCTGTATATAACAAAATAAGAATGAAATATCTACCCCTCTGGTCATTTTCATGTATATCTACTAATAACTTTGAATGTCTGCTGTCAAGCAAAAAGTATAGCGTTCAACTACAAGTATCTTTATACATTCATCATGCTTTTGTCTTACGTCAGTTATTGTTGTCTTGATACTCCGTATACTACAATATTTGTTAATATAACTGTATGTCTATGTCACTCACATGTATATGGGCCAATGGCCTTTAATACAATAAACTATTGAATTGAATTGATATTGTAGCATAATCTCACTGTGCAAACCTTTAAGTGACGAACAAGACGTTTCAAGGCCATCCTTCTGATCTGGTTCTGTTACGTTAGTATTAAATACATCTAAGTCAGGACCCCATAGATCGAGAATGGTTTTGTCTATGTCTCTTTCAAAGGAAAATTCTGTCAAGGTTGGATATGTACAGTTGTGGCAGAGCTGGCCAACGGAATGGGTATCATAAATAGGACGTCATCTCCAGTTCCCTCAAATCTTAGTAGTTTTGTTTCTTAATAGACACTTTTCCCGATGTAGAGTGAGTTTTCCAAGGCAGGGTGAGTTTCTCAAGGTAGGGTGAGTATTTCAATTAAGGGTGAGTTTTCCCAAGCGATGGAGTTAGTTCCACATTTGGGTTTAGACGCACATTTCTGTGGGTACACGCATGAAACGACACAAAATGTGCATTATTCTTGCTTTGTCCGTCTTTGAGTACCATAGGTCAAACAGTCGTGATAATTACACAGCTGAGATAGTGGAATGTCCCAAGGTTAATGCTGTCAATGCGGTACACAATGTATTGCTATTCCGCTGCATGTGTTTAGGTGCTGCACAACTTTCGGGATGCTGCAGTAATCATGAAATTTATGCGCTAAATGCCAATATGGGGGAAAAGGTTACGAATTGTAAGGCGGGTATACTGGAGTCAGCTGTCACTTTCGGTTAAAGATACTCACAGTACCCGTTACAGATATCCTCAGAAATACACATCGACTTTGATCAACCCAGTAATACACATATGGACCTACCAATAAACAGATGCATCTACCAATACACAGATGTATCTACCAATACACATATGGACCTACCAATAAACAGATGTACCTATAAATACACAGATGTACCTACCAATACACATATGAACCTACCAATACACATATGGACCTACCAATACACAGATGTACCTACCAAAACACAGATGTACCTATACATACACATATGTACCTACCAATACACATATGGACCTACCAATACACATATGGACCTACCAATACACAGCTGTACCTATACATACACATATGTACCTACCAATACACATATGGACCTACCAATACACATATTGACCTACCAATACACAGATGTACCTACCAATACACATATGTACCTATACATACACATATGTATCTACCAATACACATATGGACCTACCAATACACATATTGACCTACCAATACACAAATGTACCTACCAATACACATATGTACCTACCAATACACATATGGACCTACCAATATACAAATGTACCTACCAATACACATATGGACCTACCAATACACATATGGACCTACCAATACACATATGGACCTACCGATACGCAGATGCATCTACCGATACACATATGTATCTACCAATACACATATGGACCTACAAATACACATTTGGACCTACCAATAGACAGATGTACCTATACATACACATATGGACCTACCAATACACATATGGACCTACCAATACACATATGGACCTACCAATACACAGATGTACCTACCAATACACAGATGTACCTACCAATACACAGATGTACCTACCAATACACATATGGACCTACCAATACACATATGGACCTACCAATACACATATAGAGCTACCAATACACAAATGTACCTACCAATACACATATATACCTACCAATACACATACGGACCTAACAATATACAAATGTACCTACCGATACACATATGGACCTACCAATACACAATGTACCTACCAATACACATATGGACCTACCAATACACATATGGACCTACCAGTAAACAGATGTACCTACCAATACACAGATGTACCTACCAATACACAGATGTACCTACCAATACACATATGTACCTATACATACACATATGGACCTACCAATACACATATGGACCTACCAAAAAACATATGGCCCTACCAATACACAGATGTACCTACCAATACACAGATGTACCTACCAATACACAGATGTACCTACCAATACACATATGTACCTATACATACACATATGTATCTACCAATACACATATGGACCTACCAATACACATATGGACCTACCAATACACAAATGTACCTACCAATACACATATGTACCTACCAATACACATATGGACCTACCAATATACAAATGTACCTACCAATACACATATGGACCTACCAATACACATATGGACCTACCAATACACATATGGACCTACCGATACGCAGATGCATCTACCGATACACATATGTATCTACCAATACACATATGGACCTACAAATACACATTTGGACCTACCAATAGACAGATGTACCTATACATACACATATGGACCTACCAATACACATATGGACCTACCAATACACATATGGACCTACCAATACACAGATGTACCTACCAATACACAGATGTACCTACCAATACACAGATGTACCTACCAATACACATATGGACCTACCAATACACATATGGACCTACCAATACACATATAGAGCTACCAATACACAAATGTACCTACCAATACACATATATACCTACCAATACACATATGGACCTAACAATATACAAATGTACCTACCGATACACATATGGACCTACCAATACACAATGTACCTACCAATACACATATGGACCTACCAATACACATATGGACCTACCAATACACAGATGCATCTACCAATACACAGATGTATCTACCAATACATATATGGACCTACAAATACACATATGGACCTACCAGTAAACAGATGTACCTACCAATACACAGATGTACCTACCAATACACAGATGTACCTACCAATACACATATGTACCTATACATACACATATGGACCTACCAATACACATATGGACCTACCAAAACACATATGGACCTACCAATACACATATGGACCTACCAGTAAACAGATGTACCTACCAATACACAGATGTACCTACTACTACACAGATGTACCTACCAATACACAGATGTACCTACCAATACACATATGGACCTACCAGTAAACAGATGTACCTACCAATACACAAATGTACCTACCAATACACAGATGTACCTACCAATACACATATGGACCTACCAGTAAACAGATGTACCTACCAATACACAGATGTACCTACCAATACACATATGGACCTACCAGTAAACAGATGTACCTACCAATACACAGATGCATCTACCAATACACAGATGTACCTACCAATACACAGATGTACCTACCAATACACAGATGTACCTACCAATACACAGATGTACCTACCAATACACATGGGCAATTGTTTATCCCACTGTCCGGAGTTGAGGCACTTGAGTGAGTTGCTTCCTATGAGGGATGTCCTCCTTGGACACCTGATTGTGACGGTGTCCCCGGGACGTCTCCTATGGCTGCTCAGCCGCACAGCGGGGACGTCCCCCGACTCCCCAGACGGCGAAATGAGGGGCGGACACTCTATATAAACAAAATAAACCGTTTGGTCATTACACTTTGTATAGACAACGGAGGGCATGATTATACAGGTTTCAAGAATATTCTGGTACCAATATTTGTTGGACAAAACATTCTCTCAGTGAGTGAGTGCGTGAGTGAGTGAGTGCGTGAGTGAGTGAGTGAGTGAGTGAGTGAGTGAGTGAGTGAGTGACTGAGTGAGTGAGCGAGAACCCGACTAGAAAGCATCCAAATGTATGCATGTTTCGTGTGGACCTCACTCATGTTTTCTGACAATGTCTGATATTATGCCTCGTACCTTTGGCAATGAATATCTTCCCTTGGATGACGACCTCGCATAGAGTGAGAGTTTGAGAAGGTTTCTCGATGTAAACACGGCGGCCGATGGTGTGGAGCGGACAGGTGAAGGAGCGCATCTCGCCACAGGCGAACTCGGGCGTGTTCGTAGCGCAGATCACAGGGGGCAAATCTCCACCAGCCTCAACCGCAATGGTGATGTTAGAGAGGTGGTGACCTGTTGAACAAGACAACAATATTCTTATTGATAAACAGTCAATGCTTAACAAGTACCGATCAGCTAAGACACTGGTGTAAATGCTTAACAAGTACCGATCAGCTAAAACACTGGTGTAAATGCTGGACAAATACCGATCAGCTAAGACACTAGTGTAAATGCTTAGCAAGTACCGACCAGCTAAGACACTGGTGTAAATGCTTAACAAGTACCGACCAGCTAAGACACTGGTGTAAATGCTGGACAAATACCGATCAGCTAAGACACTGGTGTAAATGCTGGACAAATACCGATCAGCTAAGACACTGGTGTAAATGCTTAACAAGTACCCACCAGCTAAGACACTGGTGTAAATGCTGGACAAATACCGATGAGCTAAGACACTGGTTTAAATGCTTAACAAGTACCGACCAGCTAAGACACTGGTGTAAATGCTGGACAAATACCGATCAGCTAAGACACTGGTGTAAATGCTCAACAAGTACCGACTAGCTAAGACAAAACATAACATGATAAACAGTCACATTTCCGAGGACAGAAGTCGTGCCTACACATCAATCAAGGTTCATATGGTGACGCATATAATAATTCTTAAAATGTTATTTGTAGCATATACACCTGTTAACCACGTACATACTCGGCTTATACTCCCTGTATATTTGTTTTAGAGGGCCTTTAGTCCATTTCATATTTCCTATGCTGAGTATATCGGACAATCGGCCTCAGTACTGATAGTGGCATATTGACACAGAGTGACATAGAATAATGTAGAGCGACATAGAGCGACATGGAGTGGCATAAAGTGACATAGAACGGCAGAGCGGCAGAGATTGATATAGAGTGCCAGGAGTGACATAGAGTGCCAGGAGTGACATAGTGTGGCAAAGAGTGATATATAGAGGCATAGAATAACATAGTCCAGCATAGAGTGCCAGAGTGACATAGATTAGCATAGTGACATAGCGTGCCAGAGTGACATAGAATGCCAGAGTTGCATATAGTGTCATGGCGTGACATAGAGTGACATAGCGTGCCAGAGTGACATAGAGTGACATAGCGTGACATAGAGTGACATAGAATGCCAGAGTTGCATATAGTGTCATGACGTGACATAGAGTGACATAGAGTGACATAGCGTGCCAGAGTGACATAGAGTGACATAGAGTGCCAGAGTGACATAGAATGCCAGAGTTGCATATAGTGTCATGACGTGACATAGAGGGCCAGAGTGACATAGAGCGGCATAGAGTGACAGAGTGACATAGAATGCCAGAGTGACATAGAATGCCAGAGTTGCATATAGTGTCATGACGTGACATAGAGTGACATAGAGCGGCATAGAGTGCCAGAGTGACATAGAATGCCAGAGTTGCATATAGTGTCATGACGTGACATAGAGGGCCAGAGTGACATAGAGCGGCATAGAGTGCCAGAGTGACATAGAGTGCCAGAATTGCATATAGTGTCATGGCGTGACATAGCGTGCCAGAGTGACATAGAGTGACATAGAGTGCCAGAGTGACATAGAATGCCAGAGTTGCATATAGTGTCATGACGTGACATAGAGGGCCAGAGTGACATAGAGCGGCATAGAGTGACAGAGTGACATAGAATGCCAGAGTGACATAGAATGCCAGAGTTGCATATAGTGTCATGACGTGACATAGAGTGACATAGAGCGGCATAGAGTGCCAGAGTGACATAGAATGCCAGAGTTGCATATAGTGTCATGACGTGACATAGAGGGCCAGAGTGACATAGAGCGGCATAGAGTGCCAGAGTGACATAGAGTGCCAGAATTGCATATAGTGTCATGGCGTGACATAGCGTGCCAGAGTGACATAGAATGCCAGAGTTGCATATAGTGTCATGACGTGACATAGAGGGCCAGAGTGACATAGAGCGGCATAGAGTGACAGAGTGACATAGAGCGCCAGAATTGCATATAGTGTCATGACGTGACATAGAGTGACATAGAGTGACATAGAGCGGCATAGAGTGCCAGAGTGACATAGAGTGCCAGAGTGACATAGAGTGCCAGAATTGCATATAGTGTCATGACGTGACATAGAGTGACATAGAGTGACATAGAGCGGCATAGAGTGCCAGAGTGACATAGAGTGCCAGAGTGACATAGAGTGCCAGAGTTGCATATAGGCTCATGACGTGACATAGAGGGCCAGAGTGACATAGATTAGCATAGTGACATAGAATGCCAGAGTGACATAGAATGCCAGAGTTGCATATAGTGTCATGACGTGACATAGAGGGCCAGAGTGACATAGAGCGGCATAGAGTGACAGAGTGACATAGAATGCCAGAGTGACATAGAATGCCAGAGTTGCATATAGTGTCATGACGTGACATAGAGTGACATAGAGCGGCATAGAGTGCCAGAGTGACATAGAATGCCAGAGTTGCATATAGTGTCATGACGTGACATAGAGGGCCAGAGTGACATAGAGCGGCATAGAGTGCCAGAGTGACATAGAGTGCCAGAATTGCATATAGTGTCATGGCGTGACATAGCGTGCCAGAGTGACATAGAGTGACATAGAGTGCCAGAGTGACATAGAATGCCAGAGTTGCATATAGTGTCATGACGTGACATAGAGGGCCAGAGTGACATAGAGCGGCATAGAGTGACAGAGTGACATAGAATGCCAGAGTGACATAGAATGCCAGAGTTGCATATAGTGTCATGACGTGACATAGAGTGACATAGAGCGGCATAGAGTGCCAGAGTGACATAGAATGCCAGAGTTGCATATAGTGTCATGACGTGACATAGAGGGCCAGAGGGACATAGAGCGGCATAGAGTGCCAGAGTGACATAGAGTGCCAGAATTGCATATAGTGTCATGGCGTGACATAGCGTGCCAGAGTGACATAGAATGCCAGAGTTGCATATAGTGTCATGACGTGACATAGAGGGCCAGAGTGACATAGAGCGGCATAGAGTGACAGAGTGACATAGAGCGCCAGAATTGCATATAGTGTCATGACGTGACATAGAGTGACATAGAGTGACATAGAGCGGCATAGAGTGCCAGAGTGACATAGAGTGCCAGAGTGACATAGAGTGCCAGAATTGCATATAGTGTCATGACGTGACATAGAGTGACATAGAGTGACATAGAGCGGCATAGAGTGCCAGAGTGACATAGAGTGCCAGAGTGACATAGAGTGCCAGAGTTGCATATAGGCTCATGACGTGACATAGAGGGCCAGAGTGACATAGATTAGCATAGTGACATAGAATGCCAGAGTGACATAGAATGCCAGAGTTGCATATAGTGTCATGGCGTGACATAGAGTGACATAGAGCGGCATAGAGTGACATAGAGTGCCAGAGTGCCATAGAGAGCCAGAGTGACATAGAGTGCCAGAGTTGCATATAGTGTCATGACGTGACATAGAGGGCCAGAGTGACATAGAGCGGCATAGAGTGCCAGAGTGACATAGAGTGCCAGAATTGCATATAGTGTCATGGCGTGACATAGAGTGCCAGAGTGACATAGAATGCCAGAATTGCATATACTGTCATGGCGTGACATAGAGTGCCAGAGCGACATAGAGTGCCAGAATTGCATATACTGTCATGGCGTGACATAGAGTGCCAGAGCGACATAGAGTGCCAGAATTGCATATACTGTCATGGCGTGACATAGAGTGCCAGAGTGACATAGAATGCCCGAGTTGCATAAAGTGTCATGGCGTGACATAGAGTGACATAGAGTGACATAGAGCGGCATAGAGTGCCAGAGTGACATAGAGTGCCAGAGTTGCATATAGTGTCATGGCGTGACATAGAGTGACATAGAGTGCCAGAGTGACATAGAATGCCAGAATTGCATATAGTGTCATGGAGTGCCAGAATGACATAGAATGACATAGAGCGACAAGGATTAAGTAGGAAAAGTCAAGTCAATCCTCACAGCAACAGTCGCGTCTGTTGACGACGATGACATCATTGATGCTGAAGTGACCGCCCAGGTCAACCGTCCACCGCGGTCTCATGTCCAATGGTTTGGTGGTCGAGCAGGAATACTGCCCAACATCTCCGTCGACCGCGTTACCGGGCAGACCAGGTTCCAGAGTGGAACTTTGTGTTGCATTCTTCCTGTATGCCAGGTTCTTTCTGTTTTCTGTTGAAACGAAATCGGCATCTTTGTTGGGTAACGTGGGCAAACAACTAACTGTTGAATGAACTCATCAGTTGTGTAGACACCACACCTGTACATGCGCTCATGTCATGGGTTTATAACGTCATGGTACATTATATATGTCTTATATCACGTCACAGTTCTGAATAAACTGTCTGTCACGATATATAGTATATCGAGCCATGGTATATGGTATCTACCAGTTCCTAGACACAATGTGGACCTATATACTGCAAGTGTTTATCTACCACATAGACACAATGTAGAACAATGTACTGTCTACTTACCAATACAGATAGGCGCAGTATTGTCCCACTGAAGGTTGGGTAGACATTTCAAGCCCTTGGTGCCCAGCAGCGTCTGACCAGCCCTACAGCCTGTGACCTTCACATCCGTCCCCACACTGCGTTTGTTTGTGGAAAAAGTCGGTAAGAAGTTCTCGGAAGGGAAATTTTTATTCCTCAGGACAGGACACTCTGTATAACAAATACAAGGAAGAGACGCTAATCCCCGCATGGTTCCATTGTGTATTATACGAGGGCTGGTCATGAAGTTCTAAGCCTAAAGTTCAACAATGTTCCACAACAAAGTGAATTAGTCAATGTATTTCTTTGTTCATGCAAGACTTTAGTTTAATTGGTCTATTGAGGCCGCTTGTATATTAGTTACAGCCAGTTGAACGTGTAAGGGGTCCAAATTAACACAGAAGTACTAGTGGAACAGTACAAGCAGTCATCCAGTTGTTTACTTTAGAGAACAGTACTCCCGAAGAAATTCATGACCGCATGTCACAAGAGTATGGGGATAAGTGCCCTAGCCTGTCCACAGTGAAACGTTGGGCAGCTATGTTAAATGCTAGGAGAACAAGCCTTGGTGATGACATAAGTCTCTCCACCAGACTAAAATAAAGGAACTGATCCAAATACTGCCATATCCATCACACTAGCATACATTCACGAAAAATGGCCAAATTGGTGTGACATTTACACAGACGGGTCCTTTGACCCGGGCTCAAAACGCACAGGATTCAGCATCCATATCAACAAACCTCAGAAAGAAACACAATCCTATTGCCTCCCAAATAATCGATCAATTTTCACAGCCGAATTAATGGGGATAGTAACAGCTGTGCACAGCGATCAATTAAATAGACACAACAAAAACTAATCCTTTCAGACTCATAAAGTGGGCTCCAGGCCATAAAAAAACAATAACACAAAAAAGCGCCCAAAACTAATACAACAGATAATTAAAAGCGCCAACAATCTACGTAAACTAGGTAAAGACATAGAAATAGTTTGGATCCCTGCCCACGTTGGAGTGTTTGGCAACGAGCACGCTGACAAAGCAGCCAAATCAGCACTAAAATTAGAAGAAGTAACAATCAAACTACCAATATCAAAAAAACAAAATTGAAAGTATCACAAAGGAGAAAATCTTCCAAAAGAAACAAAATAACAATCAGAAATCTGATTGCAAACTAAAACACCTGCTACAAAAGCCACTCAAAACACCAAAAATCCATCATAAAACCAAAACAATTGACAGAGTAATAACTAAACTACTAACAGGCTACACTAAGTTAAACTCCCCCCTACACCAAATTACAAAAAAAACACAAAACCGGTAAATGCCCCCACTGCAAGTTAAAAGAAACGCCAATAAACCCTAAAATTCTAAACCTATAAAAACACACAAACTCCATTTAGTCTCCTAAAAAATGCTGGACCAATACCGATCAGCTAAGACACTGGTGTCATTGCTTAACAAATACCGATCAGCTAAGACACTGGTGTAAATGCTGGACAAATACCGATCAGCTAAGACACTGGTGTAAGTGCTGGACAAATACCGATCAGCTAAGACACTGGTGTAAATGCTAAACAAGTACCGATCAGCTAAGACACTGGTGTAAATGTTGGACAAATACCGATCAGCTAAGACACTGGTGTAAATGCTGGACAAATACCGATCAGCTAAGAAACTGGTGTAAATGCTGGACAAATACCGATCAGCTAAGAAACTGGTGTAAATGCTTAACAAGTACCGATCAGCTAAGACACTGGTGTAAATTCTAAACAAGTACCAATCCGCTAAGACACTGGTGTAAATGCTGGACAAATACCGATCAGCTAAGACACTGGTGTAAATGCTGGACAAATACCGATCAGCTAAGACACTGGTGTAAATGCTGGACAAGTACCGATCAGCTAAGACACTGGTGTAAGTGCTGGACAAATACCGATCAGCTAAGACACTGATGTAAATGCTTAACAAGTACCGATTATCTAAGGATTTGTAAAGAAAATTATTCACTGGACATGTCCTGAACACTATATCTCGTGCTTGCTTGAAGCGGTCGGCGAACAATAACACACACACACACACACACACACACACTAGGATGTAAAATAGAGAATCTCACCCAAGTGTCTTTTGATATCAAATATATCAACGAGTGCTGATGTATTTGATATCAAAGCACACGAGGGTGAGACTATATTTATCATCCAACATCATTCTTCAGGCTTTTTCATTTTGTAGACAGCAATAAGCAGTGGCTTAGGTGCAAAACGTACTGCTAACAGCTTCACCAGCAGACCATGTCACAATGGCGTGCAAAGCATTGTGCTGCAGTTTCATAGCTACGATATCTACAATTTTGATATGGCTTGGTCTCACCCAAGCGATATCTCCTGTGGGAGACAGTTTTTGATGATAAATGGTCTGTGGTACCACCAGCAGGTGTCCGTTTTGATATCAGTAGCATCGTCACTGGTCACGGGGTTGTGCACACGACGTTCCTCAAGCACCCGGCGTTGTACCACGGTGTAGCAGTACCACGGCGTGTCTGCTGTAGTCGCGGAATTACATGAGGCCAGGTATAAGTCAAATGAGCCAACTCAGAGAATGAATTGTGTTTAAAGCCAACCATTGAGTGATAGTGTAACAATAGGTAGAGAAGATGGTCCTGTATTGGTGTGAACCCTCGCTGGTGTGAACAAGGCTCTGACTGCAAGTAGGCTCGGAGGAACTTCGTGTGTGCAAACCTGTACCATAGTGACCCGGGTGTTTGAGCGTGATGCGCACCTGTTCCTGTGACCGACTCGCCGTAGATCTCCACCTCACACAGCGTCATTCCAGGCATCGGCTGCTTGATCCAGACATACCGACCCCAGACATTGACAGCACATCTCAACACTCGCTTCTCGCCGCAAGAGAAGGGACGAGATGTGACGTCACAGTTTCTGACTGGGTCGTCCCCCTCAGCCTCATCTTCGACTGTGATGTCTCTGTCCTTGCTGTTAACATCTATGGTCACGCTATTGAGCGCCCCACCTGAGAGGTAGTAAACAAAATAGGCTTTATTCAGGACTGGTCGCAATGACCGTCAAGCCGTCAGCAGTCTCATTAGAGATAAGCTGGTGACTCGATTTTTAAGGTTAGTTGTTGGTTTATATTCTTCCCCAAGGACCGGTACTGTTTGCTTTAGAAGAACATAAATATCAGTAATAATATGGGTATGTGTAGATTCACATAGCGCTGTGGTATGGTAAGTTTTTTTAACAGATAAAATATTTAGAATTAACAGCATTCATTTTACAATAATTACTTCTGAAGGGATAAGCTTAAAGTTTACAAGAGATGATCGTACAAGATGCGACTGTACAGTTACAAGAGATGAGTGTACAGTAACAAGAGATCAGTGTACAATTAACAAGGGATTAGCGTACAAGATACGAGCGTACAGTTACAAGAGATGAGCGTACAGTTACAAGAGATGAGCGTACAGTTACAAGGGATGAGCGTACAGTTACAAGCGATGAGCGTACACGATACGAGCGTAGAGTTACAAGAGATGAGCGTACAGTTACAAGAGATGAGCGTACAGTTTACAAGAGATGAGTGTACAGTTACAAGAGATGAGTGTACAGTTTACAAGAGATCAGCGTACAATTAACAAGGGGTGAGCGTACAGTTTACAAGAGATCAGGGTAAAGTTACAAGATACGAGCGTACAGTTACAAGCGATGAGCGTACAGTTACAAGATACGAGCGAACAGTTACAAGCGATGAGCGTACAGTTACAAGATACGAGCGTACAGTTACAAGAGATGAGCGTACAGTTACAAGAGATGAGCGTACAGTTACAAGAGATGAGCGTACAGTTACAAGCGATGAGCGTACAGTTACAAGATACGAGCGTACAGTTACAAGAGATGAGCGTACAGTTACAAGAGATGAGCGTACAGTTACAAGAGATGAGAGTACAATTAACAAGGGGTGAGCGTACAGTTTACAAACGATGAGGGTACAGTTACAAGAGATGAGGGTACAGTTACAAGAGATGAGCGTACAGTTTCAAGAGATGAGTGTACAGTTACAAGAGATGAGTGTACAGTTACAAGAGAAGAGGTTACAGTTACAAGAGATGAGTGTACAGTTACAAGAGAAGAGGTTACAGTTACAAGAGATGAGTGTACAGTTACAAGAGATGAGTGTACAGTTACAAGAGATGAGTGTACAGTTTACAAGAGATCAGCGTACAATGAAGAAGGGGTGAGCGTACAGTTACAAGAGATGAGCGTACAGTTACACGAGATGAGCGTACAGTTACAAGAGATGAGCGTACAGTTACAAGAGATGAGCGTACAGTTACAAGCGATGAAGTTACACTTTACAAGAGATCAGCGTACAATGAAGAAGGGGTGAGCGTACAGTTACAAGAGATGAGCGTACAGTTACACGAGATGAGCGTACAGTTACAAGAGATGAGCGTACAGATACAAGAGATGAGCGTACAGTTACAAGAGATGACGTTACACTTTACAAGAGATCAGCGTACAATTAACAAAGGGTGAGTGTACAGTTATAAGAAATGAGTGTACAGTTACAAGAGATGAGGGTACACTTTACAAGAGATGAGCGTACAATTAACAAGGGGTGAGCCTATAGTTACAAGAGATGAGCGTACAGTTACAAGAGATGAGGGTACAGTTAAAAGAGATGAGCGTACAGTTAAAAGAGATGAGCGTACAGTTACAAGAGATGAGCGTACAGTTACAAGAGATGAGTGTACAGTTACAAGAGATGAGCGTACAGTTAAAAGAGATGAGCGTACAGTTACAAGAGATGAGCGTACAGTTACAAGAGATGAGCGTACAGTTACAAGAGATGACGGTATAGTAACAAGGGATGAGCGTACAGTTACAAGAGATGAGCGTACAGTTTACAAGAGATGAGGGTACACTTTACAAGAGATGAGCGTACAATTAACAAGGGGTGAGCGTACAGTTACAAGACATGAGCGTACAGTTACAAGACATGAGCGTACAGTTACAAGAGATGAGGGTACAGTTACAAGAGATGAGTGTACAGTTACAAGAGATGAGCGTACAGTTACAAGACATGAGCGTACAGTTACAAGAGATGAGCGTACAGTTACAAGAGATGACCGTACAATTAACAAGGTATGAGCGTACAAGATACGAGCGTACAGGTATAAAAAAGATCAGCGTACAGTTTACAAGTGATCAGCATAGTTACACTTAACAAGAGATGAGTTTAAAGATTGCAAGAGATGAGCATAAAATATACGAGGGTACAGTTAACAAGAGATGAGCGTACAGTTAACAAGAGATGAGCGTACAGTTTACGTGATAGCGTGCAGTTTAAAAGAGATCAGCATACAGTTCACAAGAGATCAGCGTACAGTTTACAAGTGATGAGCGTGCAGTTTGCACGATATCAGCGTACAGTTTACAAGAGAAGATGGATGGATGGTAAGTGGGGACAACGTATAGGGGACGGAGGCGCTCACAGCAGCAGTCCTTTCTGTTGAGGATGACGACGGAGGTTATTGTGTAGATCCCTTGTAAGTCGACACGCCACCAGGAGCTGCTCTGTTTGGGATCTGTGCGACTACACTCCGTTCCATTTGTGCCGTACTTGCCGTCATTAGCCAGACCTGCACCCCCGCCCGACACCGTGCTGCTCTGTGTGGAGGGCTTGCCTAGGGCCAGATTACCTGCAGGCAGATTGCATCGCCTTCAGAACTCGCCACTGATACAGGACATGAGCATCATCGGCAGTAGGAGATAATGAGATTTATGATTTTGAATTTGAGTTTGCCTACCTGTGGACACGTTTAGTCGGACAGTGTCATTAGAAACAGATTTCGATTCATCCGTCTGGTTTGAATGGTTGGATCTCGAGTTATTTTGTTGGAGTTGTACGGAGCTATTCATCCTCTGTCCATTGTAGTCGGTGGTTACGTTCCCCGAGGTTTGGTTCAGTGTTGTCGGAGACGGAGGAACCCCAGCTACGGTTGTCACGTTCCCCGAGGTTTGGTTCAGTGTTGTCGGAGACGGGGGGACCCCAGCTACGGTTGTCACGTTCCCCGAGGTTTGGTTCAGTGTTGTCGGAGACGGAAGGACCCCAGTTACGGTTGTCCCGTTCCCCGAGGTTTGGTTCAGTGTTGTCGGAGGCGGAGGGACCCCAGCTACGGTTGTCCCGTTCCCCGAGGTTTGGTTCAGTGTTGTCGGAGAGGGAAGGACCCCAGCTACGGTTGTCACGTTCCCCGAGGTTTGGTTCAGTGTTGTCGGAGACGGGGGGACCCCAGCTACGGTTGTTTCGTTCCCCGAGGTTTGGTTCAGTGTTGTCGGAGACGGGGGGACCCCAGCTACGGTTGTCGCGTTCCCCGAGGTTTGGTTCAGTGTTGTCGGAGACGGAAGGACCCCAGCTACGGTTGTCGCGTTCCCCGAGGTTTGGTTCAGTGTTGTCGGAGACGGAAGGACCCCAGCTACGGTTGTCGCGTTCCCCGATGTTTGGTTCAGTGTTGTCGGAGACGGAAGGACCCCAGCTACGGTCGTCACGTTCCCTGACGGGGTGACGGTAGATGCCCACGTACCTGCCGTGCTACCTGCAGAACACACCGAGGCACATAGTGGGGGTTGTCTGAACATATACACTCTGTCAACAAAGGTGGTGTTATCTTAATATGATCTTTTAATTTGAAGTTTACACGATATACGGCTTGTCAATTGGACAAGAGGTCGGTCACCCGACCGTGAAAATGACGTTCATAAGTGTCTGAACGACACAATTTGACGTTTATACGTTTTTCACGAGACCGTTACCTTGAAATGACGTAAACGCTGACGGACTACTTCCACATTCCTGGGGAAACCCCTGGGAATTCCCAAGCACGAATACGTACAGAAGCGTTCTTTCTAATCAATTAGACCCTTTAATTTTGAACTAAGCGTTTTAGTATACATTGAGAAACTTCAGAGTGTCAGACTGCACGACCGTTCACGAATATCCTCGCTGCGACCCATCCTAGTGAACAAAACGAAGAAATGCACATCCAAACTATGGTAGTATCGACTCGATCCGTGTCTAGGCTGACAGTGACAGTCTACAGCGATCTATGAATTGAACTTAGGGTCTTTTTGACTCACATTTAATCACCTTTTAATGATCGGTCAATTGATCAATGAAAACTAAAACATGTAACCGCCATAGGTTCATTAGCAACTCCCGAAATCCCGTGTCGGCCATTTTGACGCGCTAAGGTAGTTCTTAACAGACCTTTCTCACCTAATGGTGATGTTATGTGAATACATGTGTTGCGTAAGATGTTTTTGAAAAGCAAGTTGAGCATCCATACGCTCATGTCACCTCTCTTTTTCAGGAACTATCTTATTCCGCGATATAACAGGTTGTTGTATGGCTGTCAGTGTAAACATGTCACACGCATTAAAGAAAATTGTGTATAGATCTTGGCCTACATCCTTTGAGGTAAGACATTGTGATTTGTGAGCAAGCTCCGGCGCTCATACAGTTTTGACCTCACTCTATGAAGGTTCATACTCTGATGAACTGACACAAAGTGAAAGTCAATTCTTAAATATACACCGTGTCACAGAAGTGGTGTTAACTTAATACATACACCGTGTCACAGAGGTAGTGTTACCTTAATACATACACCGTGTCACTCAGACACGCTTTGTAGGAACGTTACGTAGACACGTGTAGTTGGAACGTTACATAGACACGTGTAGTAGGAACGTTCCATAGAGAAGTGAAGTTGGGAGCTTTCTTGGACGCTCTCATGGCAACTTGTATTGTGTGAGTATATCCTCTCACGGCAACCGGTATTGTTTGAGTATGTCCTCTCACGGTCAACGGTAATGTTTGAGAATGTCCTCTCATGGCAACCTGTAATGTTTGAGAATGTCTTCTCACGGCAACCGGTAATGTTTGAGAATGTCCTCTCACGGCAACCGGTAATGTTTGAGAATGTCCTCTCGCGGCAACGGTAATATGTGAGAATGTCCTCTCACGGCAACCGGTAATATGTGTGAGTATGTCATCTCACGGTAATTGGTAATGTGTGAGTACGTCCTCTTTCGGCAACCGGTAATGTGTTCGAATGTCTGTAAGTATGTACTAAAATCTTGCTTTGCAAAGGAGCTTGTGTAAACATTGACTGTGCTAACAAACTCTTTCCTGTAAACGGTCATTCTCAGTGATGTAGGGGGTTGATTTACGAACACGAAGTGTACAGAATGTTCCAGAATATGCTAGTTCAATGCATCAACAGACATTGCCTTGGCTACACCATAATAAGCTAAACTCGTGGCATTCGTTTGTCTTACCAGTCTTACATAATCCACATGACATTTTGCACCCATTGTTCCGATCCGACTGAGTGCAGAACTTGTTTTTCTTGATAAGTTCTGAGCAGAGCGTCCAGGGCAAGTGGTCGCTACAGCTAGCGTCTGAAATCCAGAATAGAACATCTGAACATATGTCTGCAGGATATCATTGCCTGCATTGCTGAAGGAGTGTTGTGTTGTGTTGTGGTGTGTTGTGCCTCGGTGTGGCGTGGCGTGGCGTCGTGTCGACAATGTGGGATGCTTGTGTGACTACAGGTCCGTGTTACAGAAAGTCCTCTGTTTGTCTAAGAGTACAAATTCAGAGGAAATGAATGATAACAGGAGACTTACCACAGAGGCCACAAGACAGTTTGCACTGATTGTTTTTGTTTGTGGAGTTGCAGTAACTCCCATTCGCCGTGATGATATCCGCACATTCCTTCTGCCCCAAGTCGTCTCTGCACGGGACTGGGGTACTCACTGTGCCTGAAGATAATTCCACAAAGACACAAATTTCAGTAAGATGGCGATACTGTGGACTTCGAAAAATAGGAATACGAAATATTGACTCTATTATTTGTCCAGCTATGATTAGGTAACAATGGGACGACATTGAAATATACACATTCATGTTATCGACATAGGCATAATATCTAGCTAGACACGCAAAAAACAAACATACCAATAACCCCTTCGCAGCCACAACAATATCAACAAGACGGACACGCAAACACAGCCCGGACAGACATTAAAAGACAACAAGGACAGACACACTAACAGCACCAGACAGCACCAGACAGCACCAGCACCAGACAGACACATATTTAACATTCAGACAAAGGCAACAATAAAACCTGAAAAGACACAAAAACAATACCTGGTATACACTCTGTCAATAAAGATGGTTACAGGAACGTTACATAGACACGTGTAGTAGGAACGTTACATAGACACGTGTAGTAGGAACGTTACATAGGCACGTGTAGTAGGAGCGTTACATAGACACGTGTAGTAGGAACGTTACATAGACACGTGTAGTAGGAACGTTACATAGACACTTGTAGTAGGCACGTTACATAAACACGTGTAGAAGGAACGTTACATAGACACGTGTAGTAGGAACGTTACATAGACACGTGTAGAAGGAACGTTACATAGACACATGTAGTAGGACCTTTACATAGACACATGTAGTAGGAACGTTACATAGACACGTGTGGCAGGAACGTTACATAGACACGTGTAGTAGGAACGTTACATAGGCACGTGTAGTAGGAGCGTTACATAGACACGTGTAGTAGGAACGTTACATAGACACGTGTAGTAGGAACGTTACATAGACACTTGTAGTAGGAACGTTACATAAACACGTGTAGTAGGAGCGTTACATAGACACGTGTAGTAGGAACGTTACATAGACACGTGTAGAAGGAACGTTACATAGACACGTGTAGTAGGAACGTTACATAGACACGTGTAGTAGGAGCGTTACATAGACACGTGTAGTAGGAACGTTACATAGACACGTGTAGTAGGAACGTTACATAGACACGTGTAGTAGGAACGTTACATAGACACGTGTAGTAGGAACGTTACATTAACACGTGTAGTAGGAGCGTTACATAGACACGTGTAGTAGGAACGTTACATAGACACGTGTAGTAGGAACGTTACATAGACACGTGTAGTAGGAACGTTACATAGACACGTGTAGTAGGAGCGTTACATAGACACGTGTAGAAGGAACGTTACATAGACACGTGTAGTAGGAATGTTACATAGACACGTGTAGTAGGAACGTTACATAGACACGTGTAGTAGGAATGTTACATAGACACGTGTAGTAGGAACGTTACATAGACACGTGTAGTAGGAATGTTACATAGACACGTGTAGTAGGAACGTTACATAGACACGTGTAGTAGGAACGTTAGATAGACACGTGTAGTAGAAACGTTCCATAAACACGTGTAGTAGGAATGTTACATAGACACGGGTAGTAGGAACGTTACATAGACACGTGTAGTAGGAACGTTACATAGACACGTGTAGTAGGAACGTTACATAGACACGTGTAGTAGGAACGTTACATAGACACGTGTAGTAGGAATGTTACATAAACACGTGTTGAAGGAACGTTACATAGATACGTGTAGAAGGAACGTTACATAGACACGTGTGGCAGGAACGTTACATAGACACGTGTAGAAGGAACGTTACATCGACACATGTAGTAGGAACGTTACATAAACACGTGTTGAAGGAACGTTACATAGATACATGTAGAAGGAACGTTACATAGACACATGTAGTAGGAACGTTACATAGATACGTGTAGAAGGAACGTTACATAGACACGTGTAGAAGGAACGTTACATAGACACGTGTAGTAGGAACGTTAGATAGACACGTGTAGTAGGAACGTTACATAGACACTTGTGGCAGGAACGTTACATAGACACGTGTAGTAGGAATGTTACATAGACACGTGTAGTAGGAACGTTACAGAGACACGTGTAGTAGGAACGTTACATAAACACACTAATAACACACATATTTAACAGATACACAAATAATACTTGACAGGACATGCACCCAATTAGCATCCAGACTGAACAGTTTAGAGGAAATGAATGATAACAGGAGACTTACCACAGAGGACACAAGACAGTTTGCACTGATTGTTTTTGTTTGTGGAGTTGCAGTAACTCCCATTCGCCGTGATGATATCCGCACATTCCTTCTGCCCCAAGTCGTCTCTGCACGGGACTGGGGTACTCACTGTGCCTGAAGATAATTCCACAAAGACACAAATTTCAGTAAGATGGCGATACTGTGGACAACAAGAATACGGATTAATGACTCTGTGACGTGTTCAGTTGTGATCGAATAACAATGGGACAATCACTGTAATAAACACATATACCCCCCGGGACAGACACACGCATAATACCTGGACAGACATACCAATAACACCTGGACAGAGACACAAATAACTACTGGACAGACTCCTGGAGAACAAGAACACATGCAAAGGCAAGTCAATTGTTAACCCGAACAAACAAAGGAACATATTTATGGCACAAGTCAAAATAGGGAATTGCATCAGAAATAATTTTCTCAAATTCGAAAATGTCCTTCGCATGGCTGCCATAAATCATTTTGAGACCTTAACTGAGGCGGTGAATGTTGTACCCCTGGTCAAACAACTTTCTGAGCATGAGTCACATGATGCCCGATTGTACCTCAAAAGTTGAAATGTGAATATCAAACAGATGGGGCAGCAGTGGTGGCTTCACTGCTCTCGTGTATTTCCAGTTCAGATGGGTACATAAGTGGAGGAGAATGTGGCCTTTGACCATTATTGAAAGATATCAGATCATCGACATATACTAGAATATATTTTCTGACATGACACATTCAACCAAGCAACTTTTAAAAGTAAAAAGGGTTACCTTGGCCTTGAAAATCGAAAATGGTTGCCATGCTTCAGCAAAGTCATTGGAAACAGGATCCTTGGCCAATAACGCAGCATATTTCAGAATCCATTGTCCAGAAATGCTTACTTGCTAATACGGTATTCACAGCCAGCACTGCCTCAACATCTTAGTGATGCCAGAGCAAACTGCTCTGTAGAATCGGACACAGATTCTAGATTCAAGTGATTATGACAGTGATTCCGACTCTGCATCTGATCGGTATGACACAGAGTAGGATGATGAACTGTGCACTAAAGTAAGGTTAGAAAAGCAATACTGAACAATGGATTCTGAAATATGCTGCATTATTGGCCAAGGATCCTGTGACTTTGCTGAAGCATTACAATTCATCATGCAGCCAACCATTTTCGATTTTCAAGGCCAAGGTAACCCTTTTTACTTTTAAAAGTTGCTTGGTTGAATTTGTCATGTCAGAAAACATATTATTAGACACTAAAATCATGAATATCGGACAATGTTAACTGTGTTTGTGAATTTCACCGACTGCCAAAAGTGCGTTGACCTTTCAACGTTTTTGGCCATAGCTCCCCCATTTAAGGTCGGAACTATAACAAACTATATATTTCTAGGTTTCTTATGACTGGACGAGTAATTTGATATGCATATCGACACAATTTTGAATTTTGACCCCTGTTTGACCTTTGTTGACCCTTCCCCAAAATGCCCGGGATTTTCAACCGGGCAGCCCAAGTCAAAATTGTTCAGTATACATCAGGAAACTCAAAAACACTTTCAAACCTTTGTTTCCATGATTTGGTCACGGGACCTACAGGTTGGTCCTTGACTAATATTTCAAATTTCAGTTAAATAATTCTCATGATTTGATTTTGCCTGAGGGCAGACATTCTGATTCCTATGCATAAAGAAGCAGATCAGGGAGGGGAGCTCAGTTGGTGCAGATGGGGATGCATACGTCAGGCCTAAGTGTCCTATCCTGAAATTGACATAGATGATTTTTGTGAGGAAGTCCAGCATTTCATACATTTGCTTTCATTTTTGACAAATTGTCCTGAAGCTTTGAAAATAGAGATGTACGTTTTGTGACAAATGCCCCATGGATCAAGAAATGAAGTTTGTCCTTACCTGTGTCGTGTGGGATAGCTGTGTTCATCAAATGTTTAGTTAGAACTGAATTTTGTTCCTTCCCGCTGAGGCACACATAAAATCCTATGTCAGACTCACATCCAGACACGCCTGGCCGTTTCGCAACATCGTGTTACATGTTTGCTTAGTTTGTTCAAGGTTGTAATGAGCAATATTTCAGCAATGTGAAGGCGGTGTGTAATCGAATCTGGATCAGACAAACCAGTGGTTGATATAATGAGCACCGCCCAAGCTGGCGGATTACGATGGCACGCACGATTCATCTAGACCACCAACAAACACAACACTGTGATCCAGATGAGTGTCCAAATCGTGCTTCTATCAGTGAACTGTACCGTGTAATGGCATCCTTCCTCTCTCTTTCCCACAATCAATGGATGGGAGGTACATCGCCTGTGGACCCGTGAAGATCCAGGGTAGAATAGGTCTTCAGCAACCCATGCTTGCCCTAAAAGGCGACTATGCTTGTCGTAAGGGGCGACTATGCTTGTCGTAAGAGGCGACTAACGGGATCGAGTGGTCAGACTCGCTGACTTGGTTGATACATGTCATCGTATCCCAATTGCATGGATCGATGCTCTTGATGTCAATCACTGGATTGTCTGGTCCAGCCTGGATTATTTACAGACCGCCGTCATATAGCTGGAATAATGCGGCGTTAGACAACAACTAAACATAAATGAACATCACCTATGGGCGCCAGTCTAAACTTCAGATGATGCTACCTATACGTACCACACAGTCTGCAGGACCTCTTACACTTGTTGCCTGGGTTGTTGGGGCTACAGTAGGCCTTATTCGTTATGGCTACGGAACAGATGCTGGCCGACATTTCATCCTTGCACGAGTCGAGGCTGGTGGTGTTGACTGTCGTGGACTCTGCAGTAAATGCACAGTACCCGTGACTTTCAGAGATGTTTTCACAGGGAGTGGGGCATCACTTCATGTGTACACGTACAGCTGCTGACAGTGAGGCAGCACCGTGCATCACGAGGAACGAGGCATCGCTTTATACGTACTCCTACTTTCACAGCCACGAGGCATCACTTCATATCTACTTGTACTTTCAGGTGAGGTGAAATATAGGGTTTAACGTCGCGGCCAAGATAATCGTACTTATATAGCGACGTGCATGCACGTGTGTGTGTGTGTGTGTGTGTGTGTGTGTGTGTGTGTGTGCTAGTCCGGACTGATGTCGATTTATAGTGCCAGCCCACTGAGATACCATGTCGCAGGTTAACATGAATACCCCACCCAAACACAGTATACTGACTCCGAGCGGACCAGTCCTTGTTTTAACCCCTTAATGCCGAGCGCCAGACAGAGTGACCTTTGATGTCGACGTATACGTTTACCAAGCATGTCCAAAACGTGCTGTATGGGGAAAAGGTCGGGGCTCATGGCCTACCTGTGCATTCTGGTGATGCTTTTGCGACTGTAGGTAGTTAGTTACGATACGTGCACGGTGGGCACTAGCCTTATCGTCATGAAAGACAAAACTCAGACCAGTGTGGCGCGCAAGCGGCACAGCTGTTGGCGCCAGAATGTGGTTTCGGTAGTACTGTCCAGAGATCCTTCCATGGACAACATGCAGTTGCGTTCTGGGAGTCATACTGATCCCGCCCCATGTCACTACAGACCAACCCGAAACATGTCTTGTGGCCATGCTTTGACGTTCACATGACGTTCGTCGGGACGCTCCCAGGCACATACACGTCTATCCAAAACCTTCCAGAATGAATCGAGATTCATCTGAAGACATTACACGAGAACATCGGAGATTTTCCCATTTCTACGCTGTAGACACCCATGGTGTAAGACTAGAATGCGTCGATTTGTTGACGGTGGTACACGCGGTCACTTGGCCTGCCGATTAGTTGCATGCAGACGATAATATATTGGCTAGTAAACAATCCGAATAAGCACCCCTTCCGATTGATCAATGTACACAAGACTTATTTATTCGGGTATAATACGCACTCGTGTGTTATATGCACCCTTAATTATGGGCAATTAAATTCTGGAAAATATATCTGTCGTGTATAATACGCACATACTTTTTTTGTATCATTTCAGGCTGTCAGCATAAGCCACGAAATTTACGATCTTTCAACTCTGTTTTTTTCTCACAAAAATTATATTCTAATAAGAGCCCCCATATCTAATTTTGAGAGCGCCCTGGGTGCTTATTACGTCAAATACGGTAATCGATCTTCTGTGTCTGCAATTATTTGCTTCATGGTCAAATACTGAGGCACATTGAATATGTTGGCTACCTCTCGCTACCAGTTTGAAGCACGCCAAGGTAGTAGACGTTGTAGACGACTCAATCACAAAGTGTGCATTAAAGCAATAGTAAATGGTACGTACACGTGCATGTTTCGGGTGTGTTAGGTTTTGGTTCAGAAACCGATCTATCTCTATTTTTAAAGCTGATCTTTCTTCTGACTGTCGATCATTTATCTGACATGATCCCCTACTTATTTTGGAAAGTATATTATGATTTCGTCAACATACGTACCACACAGTCCGCAGGATCGTTTACATTTGTTGTTTGTATTTCTAGGACTACAGTACTCTTCAGTCTGTATGGCCTCGCCACAGATGAGGCTCGATGTTTCATCCCTGCATGTGTCGAGGCCGTTGGTGCTGACGGTCGTGGAATCTGCATTGTAGGAACAATATACTAAAACAGGAAATTGATTTATGGGTGGGTTACCTGCCCCTGAACATTCACAGTGAACGCTATCAACGAACGAATCATAGTTATCTACATTTGCCAGAACACCGTTAACCCGGACTGTAGCGTTCCCTTGAAATCGGGAATAGCATCTCTGTGTAACACCCCGAATAATAACATTCCTATGTAACAAAAACCCTGTGAAATAACTACCATGTGTAATAAAATCTCTGCGTGATAACATTCCAGTGTACATGTAATAACATCCATGTGTTAAAACACCCCGAGTAATTGCATCCCTGTGATACAACACCCCTGTGTAATAACATCTATGTGTAATAACATACATGTGATATAACACCCCTGTGTAATAACATCTATGTGTTATAACATCCATGTGTAATAACATCCATGTGTTATAACACTCCGAGTAATTGCATCCCTGTGATACAACACCCCTGTGTAATAACATCTATGTGTAATAACATACATGTGATATAACACCCCTGTGTAATAACATCTATGTGTTATAACATCCATGTGTAATAACATCCATGTGTTATAACACTCCGAGTAATTGCATCCCTGTGATACAACACCCCTGGGTAATAACATCTATGTGTAATAACATACATGTGATATAACACCCCTGTGTAATAACATCTATGTGTTATAACATACACGTGTAATAACATCCATGTGTTATAACACTCCGAGTAATTGCATCCCTGTGATACAACACCCCTGCGTAATGACATCTATGTGTAATAACATACATGTGTAATAACATCCATGTGTTACAACACCCCGAGTAATTGCATCCCTGTGATATAACACCCCTGTGTAATAACATCCCTGTGATATGACACCCACGTGTAATAACATTCCTGTGTAATATCATTCCTGTGTAATAACACCCCTGTGTAAGAAACTTCCTGTGTAATGACATCCCTGTGCATTAATATTCCTGTGTAATAACACCCTTGTTTAATAATACCCACTTTTAATAACATACGTACCACACAGTCCGCATGATCTTCTACACCTGTTGATTGTGTTACCGGGACTACAGTAACTGTTACTCTTGGCGGCCATGGAACAGACAGCGGGCGACGTTTCATCAACGCACGTTGTGAGGCCGGTGACTGGGTCTTGGGGGATAAAAAGGGTTAACGTTGTCAGCAAAACAGTTGGACTTACCATCATGTTCTTTCACAAGGTACAAGTACTATGGGATTTTGGCACCTAGCATAACATGGCATGTTGGATATTGATGCAGTTAATGATTTAAACATATTTTATTCACAAAAAGTGTATGGGACTGAGTACAAGTTCTTCAACTTAGGACACCTTCTCCCAGGTTTATAACAGTGTCAGGGCACTTACAAGTACTCTTTTCCACAAAATGAAAGGCTGACATCTGGAAGTCTGGATCAAGTACTTTAAACTTGTCAGAGGGGTACACAACGTACGCGATCTAGACTACCAGCTGTCGGAATGGCATTTCGTGGAATCCTCGGTGGCTGAGTGTGTTAGATCTCTGACTTTGTGTGCTTGCGATTAGGTGCCTCACTCCGCAAGTGTGGGTTCGTCAAAAAGTACTGGTACTTTACTGAGGAAGTGTCATCCCAAATATAACATGTGTCACATCTGACCATTGTCTAAATGGCTTTGTGTATTCATATATATATATATTCATATGTTTCTACCAAATAAGTCTACGTACCCTGAGCCATCTGCCAGTCCTGAAACATTGAAAGTATTTGACTTACATATGATAGGAAAACATTGATGGTTCACCGAGCGATATATCGAAATCAAATACTAGTTCAGAAAATGATCCTTGAAGAGGCTAAAACTTACCACCGTAACCTCTCAATGTGTTGGATAGACTACAGAAAAGCTTATAATTCTGTACCCCACGAATGAATTTCGAGGTCACTGGAATGAACCTCCCCAGCACAGATCCCCAACACCCCTTTCTCACCTCTATTACATGAATGACCTTGAACGTATTGCCAATGGAGGATCTACACATAACAAAAACAGATTCTGCTTGTCGAGTCGTTTCTAATGATATCAGCATTTGAAACGTGGCAAGATAGGAGAGGGGGGATCAGTCAGTTTACTTGGAGGAGGAGTTATTGACCATCTTGTGGAAGGTCAGACCTAAACGTACTTAGGGATAAAAAAAAAAGAAAAAAAAGGGATGCAGATTAGGGACAAACTCCAGAATGCCAATATCAAGGACAAACTTCGGGCAGAGTACAAATGTAGACTTAAGAAAATCTGGTGTTCAGAGCTGAACGCTTGCAGTAAAGTCAAAGCCAAGAATACTTATGCTGCATCCGTCCTTTCGTATTCTTTTGGTGTTGTTGATTGGACGAAACAAGACATTCACGGTATTGACACCCTCACACGAAGAATGATGGCAGGCAATAGATCCCACCACCCTCGCTCTTCCCTCAATCGCATATATTTACCAGTTATGATGGGAGGGCTGGCCTGAAAAGTGAAACTGAAGGCTTTCCGTTTGCCGCTCAGGACCAGTCCTCCCCACTCGAAACCGTCAATGTGTGATTTTGCATCAAAATGTAAATATGAAATGTAGATTATGTAATCAATTTAATGAGACTGTCCAACACATTGTCATTGGATGCCCAGCTTTGGCACAGACACCGTATCTTGCGACATGATGGTGTAGCTCGATCATGTTATTACCGTCTTCGCCATGCTTGTGGTTTTGACACAGAGGTCCATCCATGGTACGACCCGGAATATGTAGTGGGCGTCATGGAAAATGATCAATACAAAATTATTTGGAATAGGCCCGTTTACAGCCTCAGACGTATCCAGGCCAACAAACCTGATCTTGTCCTTTTTGATAAATCCAATGAAATCATTTATATCATTGAATTTTCTGTCCCTTTTGACACTAATGTGATTGACAAGTTTGAGGAAAAGCATGGCAAATATGCAGACCTCGCTTTCGAAGTTGTCCGACTCCCCATTGAAAATAAAATAAAATAAAATAAAATAAAATAAAATAAAATAAAATAAAATAAAATAAAATAAAATAAAATAAAATAAAATAATAAAATAAATAAAATAAAATAAAATAAAATAAAATAAAATAAAATAAGATAAAATAAAATAAAATAAAATAATACAGTTGTAAAGTTTCACTGTGTGTTAAACACGACAAATTATAATAATAATAATATTAATCAGACGACCTGACTGTAGATGAGAACAGTTACTCACGGGAAGCAGTACAAGCAAGCACACGAGGCATGCAGGCAGGTTCATGGTGGGAGTACTGCCGGCGTCCATCAGATCCGGGAACAATGTGGGGACATTAAAGGTAGAGCGTGAAAGTAGGGGAGGTAATGAGTACGTTGTAGCGATATTGGCAGGCAGGCCTTGGGTATCAACTTTCAGATTATCTGATTTAAGAAAGATCATAAACTTTGACAGAATCCATCCAGGGTTGGTGCTGCACTGATTTGTGTGTTTGTGTCCCTACCCCGCCAGGTCTGCACAATAGTAAACTGAATCCCACGGACACCCTTGTTCACCCCGTCCAATCGTGTCACGTCGGATCGTAATGGACGTCGTATATTTATAACACGTCTGCATACACCCTTCGTGGAAACACGTGTGTTTCTTGTGTAATTATTGCACCTTCTCAGAATCTGATACTTTGTCAAATAATTTCAAATTTGCCGGACTTCTAACAAAGTGATATGGATATTAATATAATGGAAGTTGTTTATTTATTCGGAAACACTGGTACCACTCCAAGTACTATTGCAACTTGAAAGATGGGAGAACACTTTCCTCATTCTAGTGGGAAATGTGTCTACTTATTACGATATACATTCGACCTGATCACATTAAGCATGGAGGACAAAGGCATATCTGGGAATGTCGTGCAGATATAAGTACATTATGTGGATGATGAATGGTTACCTAATTAACCTCGACGTTAGGTTTTCTGGGACTTGGACAATTTCGGAGCATTTTCATGCCATGATTTTCTAGCAACGAAACTAAACTGTTTTAAACATTGTCAAGATAACAAACACATATTTGCATTTTGTCGTTAATATGTTTAGATTATGGGTACATTGTGTTTTGGTGGTCCTGATGTAAACAGCCGGAAAACCTCGTGCATTTCAGCCATTTTTCAGATGAAGATAATATGTTTAGAGTGATCGACCCTGTGAGTGGAGTGGTGAGCTCCGATCTGACGATAGGTTCATTCTGAATATTTAAAAACAAATGACACAGGTGAATAAATTGAAATATTACATAATCTGTTTCCGTCAGACTGAACCCAGCTGATCCCTGCTGGACATCATTGCGCCCTCCCAAATCCCCTCCCTCTGTTCAGCTTCCGCCATTCCCTGAAGTGAACCTGTATAGGTGAGGTGAAATGGGGTTTACCGTCGCACGTGTGTGCGTGTGTGCGTGCGTGCGTGCGTGTGTGTGTGTGAGAGAGAGAGAGAGTGTGTGTGAGTGTGTGTGTGTGTTGTGAGTTTGTGAGTGTGAGTGTGTGTGTGTGAGTGTTGTGAGTGTATGTGTGAGTGTGTGTGAGAGAGTGCGTGTGTGAGTGTGTGTGTGTGTGAGAGTGACACAACAGACTGCAAATGACAGAAAGCTTTCTTTGCTTTTGTTGATAAATTTAACACCGATTTACTTAAGTTAAATGTACTTATGAATAACATTCCAAGGTTTTTATATTCCCCAATAATATTCACATATTCACCTTTAAATGTACTCTTTTCAATCAATGTTATTGGTTCTCCTTTTCTAAAAATTGCAATTCACTCCTGTACAATGTATTAGTCTTATTTAACTTCAGGTTTCAATGTATCTGAGTAGACTGATAGAATATCCAGTTGTTTCTGTAACTTGATGTAGTGCTTAACATAAAAATACATCATCCGCAAACAGCAACATCAAAAGTACTTAGTCTATTATGTTTTTGTTTTGTTTGTTTGATGTTTACCGCCACACTCAGCAATATTCCAGCTATATAACGGCGGTCTGTAAATAATAGAGTCTGGACCAGACAACCCATTGATTGACATCACGAGCATCGATCCATGCAAATGGGATACGATGACATGCATCAACCAAGTCAGCGAGCATACTGTCTACCCTCAGAATCGAACGCCTTTTTAAAGTCCACAAAGGCAACATGTAAGTTACGCTTATTATAAGCCAGACACAGTTCATTGACTCCGAGCCGACCAGTCCTTATTTTAGCCTCATAATGCCGAACGCCAGACAGAGTAACAACTACCATCTGTCAACATCTTTTAGTATGAGGCGGCCGGGGATCGAACCCCCGATCTTTCGCTCTCCGGGCGGACGCTCTACCACTGGACGACGGAGGCGGTCTCCGAGACTTTCATCAGTGCCAGCCCTAAGATTACAGAAGTAACTGTCTAATGATGAGTTATTCTATCAATAAATCTTTACTGGGCTTGACACAAGCACTGTCACAGGTGTTGTGTGTCGCCCCTCGCAGTGATTGCCTCCTGATCTGAGGCGACAGCTGTGTCGTAAAGATGGAGGACAAACACAAACAGACAGCATCACGGTGCACAGCTCTCACTCGACGGACTCAACAGAATTGTGTGTAACAAATATAGTGCACCTATTGGACTTTCATTTAGAGACAAAACATACGTTCTGTTATTTCAAACGATCATTTCAAATGGTAGACATTTGCTTTGACATGAAGCTTTTATGTTATTAGGTTTGAATAATGCTTTCTGTTTTCCTCACATATTCACACAAAAACAAGTGATTAGATATGCAAGTTAGGTCTTGGTTCGAGACTCTTTATGTGATGGAGGAGTAACAATGAACTAAATGGTGCACATGAAGGAGTAACAATGAACTCAATGATGCACGTGAAGGAGTAACAATGAACGCAATGATGCACGTGAAGGAGTAACAATGAACGCAATGATGCACGTGAAGGAGTAACAATGAACTCAATGGTGCACATGAAGGGGTAACAATGAACTCAATGATGCACGTGAAGGGGTAACAATGAACGCAATGATGCACGTGAAGGAGTAACAATGAACTCAATGGTGCACATGAAGGAGTAACAATGAACTCAATGGTGCACGTGAAGGAGTAACAATGAACTCAATGATGCACGTGAAGGAGTAACAATGAACGCAATGATGCACGTGAAGGAGTAACAATGAACGCAATGATGCACGTGAAGGGGTAACAATGAACGCAATGATGCACGTGAAGGGGTAACAATGAACTCAATGATGCACGTGAAGGGGTAACAATGAACTCAATGATGCACGTGTAGGAGTAACAATGAACTCAATGATGCACGTGAAGGAGTAACAATGAACTCAACGATGCACGTGAAGGGGTAACAATGAACGCAATGATGCACGTGAAGGGGTAACAATGAACTCAATGATGCACGTGAAGGGGTAACAATGAACTCAATGATGCACGTGAAGGAGTAACAATGAACTCAATGATGCACGTGAAGAAGTAACAATGAACTCAATGGTGCACGTGAAGAAGTAACAATGAACTCAATGATGCACGTGAAGGAGTAACAATGAACTCAATGATGCACATGAAGAAGTAACATTGAACTCAATGATGCACATGAAGAAGTAACAATGAACGCAATGATGCACGTGAAGAAGTAACAATGAACTCAATGATGCACGTGAAGGATTAACAATGAACTCAATGATGTGCCTACTTTTGAAATATTCACATTTCAAATTCCTTTGTCTGAATTTAATCACTTTGCAAAACTTACGAAAGCTAACGTGATATAATGCTTTCCACTGTCGTTCACGCCATTTTACAATTACTATTTGTGTCCAAATGAAACTTGCTGCCTTTATTTCGAATTCAGATACGGATCTGACACAGACATATATGTGACTGCATCATCGACCACTAAGTCAATGTGTAATAGAGAACGCTGCCAAGGGCTACAGGTAGGCCACTGTGCAAGGAGAGAACATTTCATTGCTATTAATGTCCCTCCACTCGCTTTTAATTCTAACGAGCAGCACAGTCTGAGTTGTGAGATTGCTCTGCATTGTTGTGATATCAATTTGTCGACATTCCAGCTCTCATGTTACTGGCACGCAAGGACTTGAATCCAGTTATGTCTTTGTTTACAAAATGTAGAGTAAGAAACCATGACGCCGCGACACTGTGGACAATCATGTTTGTATTTGTCCACCATCCCGACACTGTAGACAATCATGTCTGTATTTGTCCACCAGCCCGACACTGTGGACAATCGTGTCTGTAGCCAGGTTAGAATCCCGCATCCTGCTGACACACCAAGAGAAACATTAGGGTTTAGCTAGGTTAGAATCCCACATCCTGCTGACACACCAAGAGTAACATTAGGGTTTAGCCAGGTTAGAATCCCGCATCCTGCTGACACGCCAAGAGAAACATTAGGGTTTAGCCAGGTTCGAATCCCACATCCTGATGACACGCCAAGAGAAACATTAGGGTTAAGCCAGGTTAGAATCCCACATCCTGCTGACACACCAAGAGAAACATTAGGGTTGAGCCAGGTTAGAATCCCACATCCTGCTGACACGCCAAGAAAAACATTAGGGTTGAGCCAGGTTAGAATCCCACATCCTGCTGACACGCCAAGAGAAACATTAGGGTTAAGCCAGGTTAGAATCCCACATCCTGCTGACACACCAAGAGAAACATTAGGGTTTAGCCAGGTTAGAATCCCACATCCTGCTGACACGCCAAGAGAAACATTAGGGTTTAGCCAGGTTAGAATTCCACGTATGATGATATGCTTTAGGGTCTTTATGTCTGAAAGTCGCCTTTGTCATCAGCCAAATTTTGAGGCTTACACTTTTCGTCAAGGTATTAGATATCTCATTTACAGTGTATAAGATGTAAATGTACATTTGTAAGTGTTTGTACTTTTGTCTGTGCGTGCGTGTGCTTATGCAAGTATATGTATGGCTGCGTTTGTATGTGTGTGAGTGTGTCCATGTGTATATGTGTGTGTGTGTTAAATAAAATTAATTAAATTACGTTGGGGCTCAAATACGTGTGAAACAAGCTTGGCTTGTGTTAGATTACATTGAACTGTTGTTTAAGGGTGTATTTATTCTATGATTCCAGTCAATCTTTTCTGTGCTTGGTCAGTGGACACTGAAATTGACTTGGATACAGATCACAGTGTGCCTGCTTAAAGCGGCCGATCTGTCAATCAGCGCGCCGCTACACGAGCTATCTCTCACAGAGAATGACTGAATGCAGCCATTTTGATTAGCTTGTCATACACTGTTTTGCTGGACGAGCGGGGTTATTGTGAATGTATTCCTGTCGGTCATTGTAGTAATAGTGTCTCTTATCTTGATTCAGTGCCCGTCTGAACAGACTATGACAAACGGTCACAGATCACGAGGAATTGTTTGGCTGAAGTTATGTTGTCAATACACGCACATCCACACTGTTAGACATCTAGACATGTGGAAATGAACAATATGTTCCTCACCACATA